GGGAGGGCAGTGAGGCACAGTCCCCCGTCCCCCGACGCCCCTCGCGATGCCCCTCCTTCTTCGACTAACCCTCTGCATAGGAGCCGTGAGAGCCAGGAACTTGTGAGTTTTGTATGTCCACTCAGGCATCATTCATACCTGGTGTGTAGGAAGTTCCTGTCAGAAGGAGGGGGCACCGCGAGGGCGTCGAGGGGCGGAAGGCGGTGCCTTAGTGCCTCCCTCCTTCTGACATTGTAAAGGAACTCTAACAATATTCTTTTTTTTAATACTAAGATATATATATATATGTATATGTATGTATGTATGTATATGTTGTTTGTCCTCAGATGAGGTTTGAAGTGTCTGTGTGGTGCAGCTGGTCTGGTCTGTCTCTGTACAGTCGAGGCTGCACCCACCTATAAAAGGTGGAGGCTCACCAGGACATGCACACCTCACAAGTTCCCGGCTCTCTCGACTCGGTTGAAGACGGGTTTCTTGGAGAAGGGGAGGGCAGTGAGGCACAGTCCCCCGTCCCCCGACGCCCCTCGCGATGCCCCTCCTTCTTCGACTAACCCTCTGCATAGGAGCCGTGAGAGCCAGGAACTTGTGAGTTTTGTATGTCCACTCAGGCATCATTCATACCTGGTGTGTAGGAAGTTCCTGTCAGAAGGAGGGGGCACCGCGAGGGCGTCGAGGGGCGGAAGGCGGTGCCTTAGTGCCTCCCTCCTTCTGACATTGTAAAGGAACTCTAACAATATTCTTTTTTTTAATACTAAGATATATATATATGTATATGTATGTTATGTATGTATGTATGTATATGTTGTTTGTCCTCAGATGAGGTTTGAAGTGTCTGTGTGGTGCAGCTGGTCTGGTCTGTCTCTGTACAGTCGAGGCTGCACCCACCTATAAAAGGTGGAGGCTCACCAGGACATGCACACCTCACAAGTTCCCGGCTCTCTCGACTCGGTTGAAGACGGGTTTCTTGGAGAAGGGGAGGGCAGTGAGGCACAGTCCCCCGTCCCCCGACGCCCCTCGCGATGCCCCTCCTTCTTCGACTAACCCTCTGCATAGGAGCCGTGAGAGCCAGGAACTTGTGAGTTTTGTATGTCCACTCAGGCATCATTCATACCTGGTGTGTAGGAAGTTCCTGTCAGAAGGAGGGGGCACCGCGAGGGCGTCGAGGGGCGGAAGGCGGTGCCTTAGTGCCTCCCTCCTTCTGACATTGTAAAGGAACCCTAACAATATTCTTTTTTTTAATACTAAGATATATATATATGTATATGTATTGTATGTTATGTATGTATATGTTGTTTGTCCTCAGATGAGGTTTGAAGTGTCTGTGTGGTGCAGCTGGTCTGGTCTGTCTCTGTACAGTCGAGGCTGCACCCACCTATAAAAGGTGGAGGCTCACCAGGACATGCACACCTCACAAGTTCCCGGCTCTCTCGACTCGGTTGAAGACGGGTTTCTTGGAGAAGGGGAGGGCAGTGAGGCACAGTCCCCCGTCCCCCGACGCCCCTCGCGATGCCCCTCCTTCTTCGACTAACCCTCTGCATAGGAGCCGTGAGAGCCAGGAACTTGTGAGTTTTGTATGTCCACTCAGGCATCATTCATACCTGGTGTGTAGGAAGTTCCTGTCAGAAGGAGGGGGCACCGCGAGGGCGTCGAGGGGCGGAAGGCGGTGCCTTAGTGCCTCCCTCCTTCTGACATTGTAAAGGAACCCTAACAATATTCTTTTTTTAATACTAAGAATATATATATATGTATATTATTTTGTATGTATATGTTGTTTGTCCTCAGATGAGGTTTGAAGTGTCTGTGTGGTGCAGCTGGTCTGGTCTGTCTCTGTACAGTCGAGGCTGCACCCACCTATAAAAGGTGGAGGCTCACCAGGACATGCACACCTCACAAGTTCCCGGCTCTCTCGACTCGGTTGAAGACGGGTTTCTTGGAGAAGGGGAGGGCAGTGAGGCACAGTCCCCCGTCCCCCGACGCCCCTCGCGATGCCCCTCCTTCTTCGACTAACCCTCTGCATAGGAGCCGTGAGAGCCAGGAACTTGTGAGTTTTGTATGTCCAGTCAGGCATCATTCATACCTGGTGTGTAGGAAGTTCCTGTCAGAAGGAGGTGGGCACCGCGAGGGCGTCGAGGGGCGGAAGGCGGTGCCTTAGTGCCTCCCTCCTTCTGACATTGTAAAGGGACCCTAACTATTCTTTTTTAATACTAAGATATATATGTATGATATGTTATGTATGTATGTATGTATATGTTGTTTGTCCTCAGATGAGGTTTGAAGTGTCTGTGTGGTGCAGCTGGTCTGGTCTGTCTCTGTACAGTCGAGGCTGCACCCACCTATAAAAGGTGGAGGCTCACCAGGACATGCACACCTCACAAGTTCCCGGCTCTCTCGACTCGGTTGAAGACGGGTTTCTTGGAGAAGGGGAGGGCAGTGAGGCACAGTCCCCCGTCCCCCGACGCCCCTCGCGATGCCCCTCCTTCTTCGACTAACCCTCTGCATAGGAGCCGTGAGAGCCAGGAACTTGTGAGTTTTGTATGTCCACTCAGGCATCATTCATACCTGGTGTGTAGGAAGTTCCTGTCAGAAGGAGGGGGCACCGCGAGGGCGTCGAGGGGCGGAAGGCGGTGCCTTAGTGCCTCCCTCCTTCTGACATTGTAAAGGAACTCCTAACAATACTTTTTTTTAATACTAAGATATATATATATATATGTATATGTATGTATGTATGTATGTTGTTTGTCCTCAGATGAGGTTTGAAGTGTCTGTGTGGTGCAGCTGGTCTGGTCTGTCTCTGTACAGTCGAGGCTGCACCCACCTATAAAAGGTGGAGGCTCACCAGGGACATGCACACCTCACAAGTTCCGGCTCTCTCGACTCGGTTGAAGACGGTTTCTTGGAGAAGGCGGAGGGCAGTGAGGCACAGTCCCCCGTCCCCCGACGCCCCTCGCGATGCCCCTCCTTCTTCGACTAACCCTCTGCATAGGAGCCGTGAGAGCCAGGAACTTGTGAGTTTTGTATGTCCACTCAGGCATCATTCATACCTGGTGTGTAGGAAGTTCCTGTCAGAAGGAGGGGGCACCGCGAGGGCGTCGAGGGGCGGAAGGCGGTGCCTTAGTGCCTCCCTCCTTCTGACATTGTAAAGGAACTCTAACAATATTCTTTTTTTTAATACTAAGAATATATATATATGTATATGTATGTTTGTATGTATGTATGTATATGTTGTTTGTCCTCAGATGAGGTTTGAAGTGTCTGTGTGGTGCAGCTGGTCTGGTCTGTCTCTGTACAGTCGAGGCTGCACCCACCTATAAAAGGTGGAGGCTCACCAGGACATGCACACCTCACAAGTTCCCGGCTCTCTCGACTCGGTTGAAGACGGGTTTCTTGGAGAAGGGGAGGGCAGTGAGGCACAGTCCCCCGTCCCCCGACGCCCCTCGCGATGCCCCTCCTTCTTCGACTAACCCTCTGCATAGGAGCCGTGAGAGCCAGGAACTTGTGAGTTTTGTATGTCCACTCAGGCATCATTCATACCTGGTGTGTAGGAAGTTCCTGTCAGAAGGAGGGGGCACCGCGAGGGCGTCGAGGGGCGGAAGGCGGTGCCTTAGTGCCTCCCTCCTTCTGACATTGTAAAGGAACCCTAACAATATTCTTTTTTTTAATACTAAGATATATATATATGTATATGTATGTATGTATGTATATGTTGTTTGTCCTCAGATGAGGTTTGAAGTGTCTGTGTGGTGCAGCTGGTCTGGTCTGTCTCTGTACAGTCGAGGCTGCACCCACCTATAAAAGGTGGAGGCTCACCAGGACATGCACACCTCACAAGTTCCCGGCTCTCTCGACTCGGTTGAAGACGGGTTTCTTGGAGAAGGGGAGGGCAGTGAGGCACAGTCCCCCGTCCCCCGACGCCCCTCGCGATGCCCCTCCTTCTTCGACTAACCCTCTGCATAGGAGCCGTGAGAGCCAGGAACTTGTGAGTTTTGTATGTCCACTCAGGCATCCTTCATACCTGGTCTGTAGGAAGTTCCTGTCAGAAGGAGGGGCACCGCGAGGGCGTCGAGGGGCGGAAGGCGGTGCCTTAGTGCCTCCCTCCTTCTGACATTGTAAAGGAACCTCTAACTATTATTTTTTTTAATTGACTAAGTATATATATATATATATGGTCAGTGAACATTTTAAGCCCACTCGGCAGCGACAGATGGCCACCCCTTCCTGAGCCTGGTTCTGTCGGAGGTTTCTCCCCGTTAAAAGGGAGTTTTTCCTCCCCACCGTCGCCAAGTGCTTGCTCATAGGGGATTTTTTGGGCTTTTTTTTTAAAACCAACCGCTGATAAGTTCACTGGCATCAAGTTTAGGACTCTGCAAATATTTAAATGGATAATTCGTCATCAAGTGAGGAATGATCCATTTAAATCATATTTGAGAGTCACATATATTTGTATATAAATATGATTTGTTGGACAATAAGGCAAATCACAGACTAATTTGGACAATTGGGAAAAATTAAATAAATAAAAAAATTGGATAAAATGCATGTGTCATTGTTTCATATTGATTTCAAATAACATACCATTTGATTTCAACATATTTTTGTTACACTTGCAGTGGTGTTATTTTGTTATGATCCTGTTCATTTTAAATATAAATATAAATCATCTAAATAGAAATGGAAAACTAGAAAAATTAAAAATATAGCTTTACTAATCTGAAAGTTATTTGTCATTGGATCCATCATTCCCACAGTGGAAACACATTATTTCATATTATGTTCAATTCAGTAGTTAAAAGTATAAAATTTAATAATGTCTATTTTTAGTTTACTTTGTTAATAAACACATTTTTTAGTATTTTAGAAACACTAACATCATACATATCCAAATATGAAGCAATGTTTTAACTCCCATTTACATACAGACCTGTGGCCAACTTTATAAACCATTTTGAATTTTTTCCAGCTGAGGCGTTCAAAATAGATATACTTTTGATTGTCACAGTGTATTGGGGGGAGCTTTGTGCTGGACCTGAAGAGGGCAGAGGAGGCAGATTATTATTCACACCGGCCTTTTTTCTTACAGATAACCACTCACAGACAAACCAGAGATTCTTACTGTGAAAGGGGCTTTTGTGTGGAGCTGGCGGCGGTCTGTGGTGTCCGTTGTGATAGGAGGGTGGTCGGCCAATGGGAGAGGCTGTGGCGCTGCAGGGACTCGACACTGGAGAGGACACGGTGGGGGTCTGAAGGGGGCTGCTGTGGAGAGGTCCCGACTGGAAGGGACCACGAGGGGAGCGGTCGCACTGAGAGAGTGTGGACGGGGAAGACTTCAACACAAACAGTGGACAGGTGTGCAAACTTTAATATTTTATATAAAATAAAAAGAAATAAATTATTTAACAACACAGGACTTAGTGTCATAAATAAGTTGCTACAGTAGATTCGTACTGCGCTGATGTAGAGGCAGCTGATCCAGGGGGGGACATAGTGTGTGTGCGTTCAACCAGAAGAACTTTAATTGTGTAGAACATGAAATTTAGCGGCTAAGTCAGCGTGAGCCTACCTGTGCGCTGCCGTCTCTTTGCCCATCTCCATTCTCGCTGGTCACGGTGAGATCCTCCACAAGAACTGCGGGGAACATACCAACAACGCCGTTAAACTCGCCCTCCCAGAAGCCATCGTCCTCGTGGGTCTCTCTGCTCAGGATGCGGATGATGGCGCCTTCTGGGAACGACAGCTCATCTTCCGTTTGTCCCGCGTAGTCGTACAAAGCCTTTGCGAATGAAACTGCAACACAGACAGTGGCAACGAGGGTATTAAACAAAGCAGGAAATCAAAACTCCGATATTATCTGGTGGAGGCGGATCTCACCACTGGAGTCTCCGTTGACGGAGCCGGTTGGGAGTTCGGTTTCAGGTTCGGTGGAGTTGCTGGAGGAATGGGATCGGGCGTCCAGCGCGGCCAGCGACTGCAGCATGCTCAGCAGGCTGTTGGAGGAGGGCAGCTGCAGGTATTTCTCCGGGACGTAGCCCACCTGTCCGCTACGGTTTCTGGCCTGGAAACACAGACAATGCACACAGACGATGACAACAGCCAAAAATGTTTCAACAGGAAAACTCCTACTGAGAAAAAATAAAGTCAGATGTAAAGAGTAGGGCTGTAACAATATCACTGCATCGTCGCCAGAATTTAATAACAGCCACAAAGAGAATAATAGGAGAGCTTTTGTTCTCTCTTCCTGAATTAATGAGAAATCTAAAATCCTAAACAAGCCTCTGCTGAATTCATGAAGCTTGATTTCATGAACACCGGTGGCCTCCCCTCCCGCTGCTTACTTATTTTCATTCAGATTGAAAACACTCAGAGGTATTGGGATCTCTTTTGGGGCATGCTGTGGGGAATCACAGCACTAAAACAGATCTATATAAATGATATTGCTCACATTTTTATGTATGATTATATTCATTAAAATAAATACCCCATTAAAACACTATATCTGTATATGAAAAGATAATCACCTAAGTAAATATACATAAAATATTGGCTCAACACGTGGAACATTTGCACAATGGCTCACAGGAAAGCCAGACTTGCACAATAAACAAAAGTAAAACAGCAACAATGCACAATGTTCCTTCAGGGAAATGATCTGAAAACAACCACACACAAAGTACACAATGACTACACACCAGCAGCTCTGCAGAGGCGTTTATAAAAGAATGACTTCACACAATGATGGGAGCATCCACAGCTGACATTTCTACATTTAAGTATACACCACTGACCACCCGAAAAATGTCCTCAAAGACTTCTCAAATTTTCTCCCAAAGGTCCAGGAGCAACTTTGTAACAGTCTGTGACAAACAAAGTGAAAATGATAACTAAGTAGCTGGGAGATCATGAAATTAACATTTTATATCCATGACCAGGTCACTCCGCAGATCTAAAACTGATCAAGAGTCCACGAACGGCTGTTAAAAAGCAGAAGCTGACAAACTGTGATCAAACCGGAGCGCTGCTGAGGCAGGATTGGATCACCATCAATCAGGATTTGGCCCAGATTTTCAGTAGCTGCACTTAAGGTATGAATTTAAAAACTGCCTCATTCATGAATTATTGCATTCACAAACTTGGGTGCCATGCCCGCCCACCTGCCTGCCCGGCTGGGTGACGAGAATCTCCCATCAGCCCTTTACGGCTGCGGGGCCAAAAAACGAAGCAGAGAACTGTGTATTTGTACATTTTTTGATTTGTCTTTATGTTCAGCAGAGCTTCTACCACCCAGGCCAACCTGACCTGCCTCAATGCACCGCACGCATTTTAGTTGAATTATTCTAATTCCTGAAGCCACATCAGACCAACTGATCCCAGAGAAACACTAAAACGTCCAGTAGATAGTCTGTACCGGTGCGAGTTCTTATAAAAACTGAAACTAAATGTTTGTCAAACAGTCTAAGAGCCAGAGAGTGAACTAATACACAAAACAACCAACCCTCAAACATGAGAGTGCTTCTGCTACATAACTGTGTTTGTGTTATTTTTGTACCTTGACCCAGTCCTCCATGTCGCCATCATCGATGACCTCCAAGATTTCCTGCTCCTCGATGGTCAGCTCGTCTGGCTGAGAAGCCTGCAGACAGACAAACACGTTAATTCAAATTAAAGCTGCGATGTAACAGTTTAACCATCTTCATTTCACCCGTGATGTATATTTTTCAAATACCGTCACACTGGTGAACGGACAAAAATGCTCACTGTGGCTTCAATAACATCAGCCAGAACACTGAAGAAAACACTGAGACCATGCCTGCATTTATACCACACTTTACTCAGGACTCAGGTAATATAAAACAACTAATACTCCAAAGCAGCATAAAACTCAGACTTACAGTAGAATTTCTGTACAAATTCAGAGAGCAGGTGTTTTAAACCTGGACACAGAATCATTAGTGCCACAAAGTTTGGGAAAGTAAATCTAAATGGGGGTTAAACACGACTGGAACTGATTAAAAACAGCCAAAACAAAAAGTGGCTTTACTTCAAAGTCAGAATTATAATTGGTGACATGTTAAAGATCCACGTCCAATCCAAATATTTAAATCATGTGTGGAGAGGTTAACCGTATTTACATCTTAATAGATTTTATGACAACATCCATCCAGCAGGGATGGAGGAAATCCCAGCCAGCTTTGTAGGCTAACACAGAGAGCATCCACATTATAATGCACCACACAGACGGCAGACTTCAACCACACTTTCAGAAAATATAACAGGAATGAGTCTCCAGCTGTCTGCGTCAGTAACAGAAGCTTTAATCTAACAAGTTTGTCTTTTAATGAAGGAGGAACCTGGAGAGAACCACAGAGGCACAGGAGAACATGACAAGACACTTAAAAAGATTTAAATATTAATCATATAATTACCAGAAAATATGGTTAAACCTACAGAATCTTAAAAATACTTCTCCTTTCACTTCCAGCCATTTTATGTATTCTGCATGAAAATGAGGTTTACAGAGGACAGAACGTGTAACTCTGCAAGTCACTGTTCTTCTAAAAACACATTTTTTGTGGCTCCTGAATCTTCATCCATCAATATCCAGCTACGCCAGCTTCCTGCATTTTCTAATAATGACTGCTTCTGTAACTCCCAACACGCACTCCCCGTGCCTCGAGCTCGAGGCAAGGCCGGCCTCTACACGTATTTTAACGAGTTGTGAATACAGAAAGCGCAGAGATGCTGCAACAGCAATCAAACAGTGTTTTTTTCCAGAGCAGCGACACTGAATGTTTAGAAGACTAAACTCAAGACTCGACTCGCTGCAAACACATGAGGCTTTGTAGATGTCACCATTTCTCTGGGCACTGACCGACTCATCGGCTACGACCCTGCTTAAGCGTGTGTCGTTACCTTGTAGGAGTAGAGCACTTTGCAGGTGAGTGGATAGTTTTTCAAGGTGCTGGAGGGGCTGGAGCTGCTGTCATCCAACACTTCACCGCTGTCCTCCATCTCCTCTTCATCCTCGCGCTCCAAATCTGCTGTTACCTACGGATGTTAGACCGACATCTGTGTTTAGGGCACAAATCTACAGCGCATATACTTCAAAACTACAGCACTGTGGAATTGGAGTTTTCGTCTTACGGAGAGTGAAGGATCGTGGGTACTGAGGTTGTTCCAGCGCTCGTTCTCCAGCTCCTCCATCACCTGGTTCATCGCACTCTTCAGCCACGTTTCAACCGGGACTCCCGCCTCCCTTAGCAGGTCCAGCCGGGCCTCGGCTTTTGCTTTCACCGTCTAGCAGCAAAAAAAAATAAAGGTGAGTTAAAGACCACCAGACTTTCACAACCCACTGACAAGCCCCCCACCCCCCAAAGAATAAAGAAAACACAATGAGATTAGTATGAAAATAAAATAAATACTTAGTGTGTTTTAAACACCTCTGCTCTCTTCTAACAGAACATTAATCCTTTAAATCTGTCACTTCACCTTTCAAACCAGCAGGTGGCGCACTGGGGCAACTTTAAATAAGGAGAAACTGATTCAGAAGATGGAGAAATCGCTGATCTAGAAGTTCAAAGGTTACCTCTGCCCTCCGGAGACTCTGTCTGGCCACCTCCATCTTGATCTCCAGCTCGCTGTTGTTTGGCTCCGAAGCTTCCTGGGTCCCGTACTCCTCCAGGGCCTGAAAAAAACCCAATTACAACTATTGTGGTGACGTATACAAAGGCACACATGGAATAGATGGAAACGGTCCAACAATAAAGCGATCAACATAACCAGGGACATCTGGAAACAGGTCGCTGCACGAGCTGTGCTCACTTATCTTAAACCAGCTTTCGCAATAAACCAGTGAGACGGAGCTCTTATCAATTTTATCCTTTCATGCCACAGTAAAATATGGAGAAGTTTATGATGCCGAGGTTTATTATTATCATCTAGCTGACCGGCTTCGCTGCATTAAAGGCCAAATTCCAGTTTAATGGAAAAAAGTGACACATCAGTGCATTTTGTACACTTCCTGCAAAGATTTTCCAGGGATTGTGTGAGTAAGGAGTGACAAACCACATCAGAATAACTCCAAACCCAAACACAGACATAACACGCACGTTTAGATTCAGAGACTTAAACTTCCCACAGGATTTCCTTCTCTTTGCAGAACGTCACACTCATCATGTTCAAAGGGTCATTTTGACTCCTCTGGAATTGTAAAAACTGTTAAATTAAAATTCCATGATCATCATATTTCATGACTTTTCCTTATATGGGTTTATTCATTATATAGTGAAAGCAAAAGCAACAAAAATGACCACCACTCATACCTTTAACTGCTGAGGATATCATTTTGATAGGCATAGAAATTTATGTCAATGCCAATTTTATTTATAGAGCACATTTCATTACATGCAAAATGTGCTTAAACAGAAGAGGCTCAAGGCAGTGAGAACGAGAAAATAAAATTTAAAATAGAGATTGCAAATGCATTTTGATTAGAAGGCTGCAGTAACGTGAGCCAGAGCTACCTAGACATGACTGATGGGTAAATATATTGCCTCAACTGCTGCTGTTGCAGGATGGGGGCAGGTCTAGCATTACATTTTTTCTCAATATGAAAACATGGACTAATTTTAACATATTTTTAAATCCACAGATTCTCCAAAAAAGCTACAGGATCTATTTTTAACAATAGAGGGCTCAACAAGTAATCTGTAGCTCTAAAACTAGCAGATTTTTACCTAAAAGAGAATTTAAACATCAACTTTGTGGGACTTTTTTTTTAAAGGTGTTTTATGTTTAAAACCTGAATTTGCCAATTTTTTTGCTTCGCTTTATGAATCTAACAAAACACAGAAAAGTTGTTTCTGTTGTGAAACAGCAGATGGTGCTACGCTGGCACTGACCGGATCGTAACAGATGGACTTTCAGGACGTTTCTGTGTCGAACAGCCATCCAGTCAGATCGTCTCTTACACAACAAGAAAAGAACATGCTTATGTCATTACAATAAAGAAAACCTATCTCCTATGTGTGTCTGATGTTTTAAATATAACATCTTATTTGACTGACTGATTGATTCGATTTGAACTAATTCGATTACTGGATCGAATAACGATCACACGCTTTACTCGGAGCACAAGGACCAGTGTTACCTGCTGTGTTTTCAAATATCCACACCGTGCTTTAATCATTTACATACACCATGTGTAACTTAATTCACTGCCCGGTGTCTGGACTGTTACACCACGTCAGCATTATAAACCCTTTCTTAGTCGTCTCATGAACGACATGGTTATATTTGTTTCTATTTTCTTCTAATCAATAAAAATATAATTAAACAATTTCAGCCCTCCCCCCCCCCCCCCCCCCCCCCCCCCCCCCCCCCCCCCCCCCTGATGCATTTATGGACCCATTTTGCACCCACATGCATACAGAACAGAAAATTGACACCCTATGTACTTATTGTTTTATTGTAATATAAGGAACTAATTGTATTACAGGGAGAAGTTGTGCACTGGATATGTGCACATTGAAAATAAAGTACTTCAGTAAACACACAGACTGACATGGTTACACCATCTTTGTCCTGATGCCTGCAGAAACTGTCTGTGTTTGATGAGGTTCTCACCTTCTGAGTGTGGATGATGCTCTTGTATTCTCGGGCCACGCGGCTCGCCCATTTCCTCGCCTCCTTATCCAGAGTGTGCTCCTCTGCCGTCCCGCTCTCTTTCTGCAGTTGCACCACCTACAGCGAAGGCAAACACACCAGCGTATAACAAAGAATGTTTTTACTAATAAGTAAATATTATCAGTCAGACAGTTTTTGAAGTGTTTTATTCTTCAGTGAATTTTAAATATTTTTTAAATCCCAGTCATCACTGAAATGTAAGTTACAGCTTTTTCCCCAGTGATACAGATACAGGCTTTAAACTAACTGCCCTGATTTGCTCCAGGATGGCTGGTGAGTTTCAAGACTTCTGACGAGCCAGGTTTATATTTGTTGACTTTAAGGTGTGACGGTCTTCAGTTTTTATTTTCTTCTAAACCCCGACAAAATGAGTTAAGCCATTTCCACATGACATCAGCTGTGTGTCTGAATATGGAGGGGAGAGGCTGGGTGGAGGGAGTGTGGGGGTCAGTGCACTCTGGTGAGGCCCGCTCACAATGCCTCCTTTTCACAGATGGGCTGTTCACAGGGCCCGGCCTACCTCCTGCCCCTCCCTCCCTCCCAAACTCAGCTCTATTCCTTACCGGATCCCTCCGTCTGGTGCAAGTGGTATGAAGGGTGGGTGCAGGGGGAGGCAGGGGAGGCTCTCCACCACTAATGTTTTCTTTAGGAACAGGCTGCTGCTTGTTTGACTTCCAATGAAAACAACACCAGCGTTTGCAGTTTGAACAAATTGTCTAGTGTTGTCCGGCGGGGCAGAGGAGAAAAGGAGCGGCGGAGCTGGGCGGCAGAATCGGACTCTTTTACATCCACGAACGGGAGTCGTAACACATCGCTTGGCAGACCTGCGGCGTCACCTTGCAGCCTGATAGGAAAATATTTTTGGACCAAAGCTGACATTTACATTAATTTTTATAGTGGGCAAAGAATCCAATAAAAGCCAAATGTGGCTGTAAAATTATTTAAAATAGACTTAAGGCCACAAGGAGACACTGCGGGCTTCATGAGCAGGTGCACCTGAATTGCACCCATGTCTGCAATGGGACTCGTAAAGGAGTTTAGGATGTGTATTTTATATACGCATATCTACTAAAGTGCAGCTCCCAGGGCAGATTTTGACCACAGCAGAGGTTTCAGACCTGAACTGGCACTGAAAAACGATCCAGGCAGTCAAGTTGAACTGAGAAATCCATAAAGCTGAGAGCGTAACAGATGCAAAACAGTCGGAGGGAAGCAAAGAAGGAAGGAAGGAAGAATTTAGCAACTCTGGAAAGTTATCTCAGCAGCATCATTTCACCAGCCATATTGTGGCAATCATGAGGTGAACAGCAGCATTCGATTTTCTGTAAACTTCTTACCTAACTTTAAAGGCCTGTTACATGTTACATGACCTGTTGCAGAGGGCTATCATGTAGGAAGGGAGGTTCAGACCTGCGGGTAGGGCTGCCACAAACTATTATTTTGATAGTCGACTAGTCACCGATTATTTATGCGATTAGTCGACTAATCAGATCATCATCCACTGGACGTAAAACTACAGCTTATTGCACCAGCAGCATCTGCTCTTATATAACTATCATTAGCTTACAGCTTTAAGCTTTTAAGGTGCTAACTAAAAATAAAGACAAGATGATAGTTTATTCAATTTTAATGAAATTTGCAGATTGTTTCGGTAAAGTTTAATAAACTCCTTGCTATCTAAAATATAACAGGACACCGGAGTATATTCTCCAGCATCTCACACTTCTGATAATCAGCTGTCTGCTTGAGGTTTATTCAGCTGTGTAAAAACTATAACTTTAATCTCAGCCAAACTGATTTACTCAGGAACAAATAAAATACTAAAAAAAAAAAATCCAAACAACAACATTTTTAATTTATCTAAGTGACTCATATATATTTAACCTGAGTCGCGAAAGACGGCGGTGGGTTTGAAAACAATTTGCGGGAGTCCGGTGTTCTCACGGCGCTAGTGACCTAGCCCCCGGCTAGCTATCGAGCTAGTGGGTAACAGACATCTCCGAAAACGTCGGAGCGCTTTTGAAAATATGTGGTGTCCTGATAAACTGAGCCAATATTTGAGGTTTACACAGCTACATTCTCGCCTGAAAATATGTTAAACGTTTATTTTGTGACCCAGAAAGAATAATAAGAGTAATATTAAAACTAACTAGCTACCGCCATTGTTGGAAACTGAGCTGGGCTGCGCTATGAATTCTGGGACACAGCTGCTTCTTCTTCTTCGGGGTTTAACGGCAGCTGGCATCCTTGTACATGCAGTGCTGCCATCTTCTGTTTCAGTCCGTTATTACACTCTTAAATCCTGCTATTATTCCTGCGTCTTTTGCGATCTTACAAAGCTTCAAACGACACGTCGACTATTAAATCAGTTGTCGACGATTTTGATAGTCGACGTAATCGTGACTAGTCGACAAATCGTGGCAGCCCTACCTGCGGGTGTTTTATAAAATAAAAATCCTGGGTCATTCCACACACACATGACCCCACATGACCCCGTTACAATCAGCTGAATATATATGTGTAATAACTTTAGTACATTTTTATGAATTATAGGCACAGAAAGTGCATAGTGGTGGGTTGAAATGTAAAACTTTTTCAACTGCGCTTTTGAAGATTCATAATTTTATAAGTACAGGAGATATCTATGTGAAATTAACAGGGCTGGAAAAACACATTAAAGCTCTGGTAAAAAACAAACAAACAAAAAAACTGCAAATAATCAACTTTAACCCACATGCCACAATCTAAAGCCAAAATCTTGTTTCCTTTAATCAACTTTGAGTTGTTTCAAGTAGTTTCAAACAGCAATCCTGCACCAATTTAATCTCTATGATGTGGAGAAACAGAAGCAAACATCGGTGCTGCCGGATGTTTTGTGTGTTTTCTATTAATTCACCGGCGAATACAGCATTTTGAGTAAAACTCTCAAAGCTCTTAACATGTGTGCTACCAAGTGAGTGCAAATGAAACTTCTCCATATTTATACCAGAATCATCTTCTAGCTGGCATCTGTCAGATATCAGTTAGGTAGATTTTGCCTGATGCTGCCGGATGGATTTTGATGGCCTCTAAAATAACTGAAATAGACCAGGTAATCGCAGATAAAGAAGACTGCAGATACTCTGTCTCTTTTCATAACCTTATGGCTCAAGATGAATAAACAACAAGTGTTTGGACTTCTAAAACGAGGCGAAACTCTTTGATTTAAAGCACAAGACAAAACGAGAGCTTGGAAGCAAAAGTAAATGGAAAACAGTGACAGTCTTTTCCAGATTACTGTGTCTGTATCTTGTCTTATAATCACAGGTCATTTAGCAGTGAGGACAATGAGCTGAGACAATCTTTAAAGCACGCGTTTATCTGTTTACACTTCCTGGAAGTGTGAAGTTCAGAGGAATAAGTGCGTGGTGTGCATTAACAATAAAAATGGAAAATGTCATTATATTGTGCAGATATTCCTCTGGGTTTAGGACAGCAACTAGTTAAGATATGCTTTTTAAAAGGTGTGTGTGTGTGTGTGTGTGTGTGTGTGTGTGTACTGAAGTGCAAATTACAAGTAGAGGTTGTGCATTTATTTAGGAAGATAAACAGTCTGATAAAGTCGGAACAAACACGAGCTGGAAATAGTCCCACGGTGAGGAAATGAGACGACACATCTGTAAATAAAAACTAAAAATGGGAAATAATCTAAGTTCCTGTGCAGGGCGAGGAGTACAGTACAAAGTCAAGAGTTCACTGTTCTGCCTTCAGGCTCATAGTTCAGACTAACAAAGATAAAGACCAATCACGCAGGACTTATTATGTTTCCTGCTTTGACTTCTTACCCAGACTTTTCCATAATGTGTGTGCAGCACTTTTGTGATTAAAATATATTTAAATTAATTGTTTATTTCAGTGCAGACAGATTATTGACACTCAAACAATGGAGCTACTTTGTCTGTTACTTACAAATTTTTAGAAAATTAGAAAAATTTGAACATTTTTTCCTGCTTGTGTATCAATTTAGAGGAAAAGTCATCCCCCAGCTTCTCAAGCTTCATACTCCAGTGATCATGAATGTCTAAAAAAAAATAATAAATCTTTTCTGCATCTGGTATTGTTGAGATGTTTAACTCTGGACCAAAAAGGTGGATCTGCTCTGCCTAAAGCCACTTTGAGCATCAAGGTCTTGAGCCGAGTCCAGTCCGGGCTTTTGTGGCCACGGCCAGCTCAGCTTTCAGGATGCCCGTGAGCTGCTTGTTCCACTCGTCTGATTTTGTATTGATTGTTGTCTAAACAAATTAATCTGTCATCTGTTGAGCTTTGTTCCACTTCTCAACAATCTCCTCTTATCTGTTTTCATTACAGCATTTTATCTGTGGTTTCCAACCTGTGCAGTTCAAACCTGAAGGATCCACATTTCACTTCACTTTTCTGTAGAAATAGATTTTCCAGTAAACTGATCAACACCTCCTGCCGACTAAATTAGTCAAACACGAACCTTATTTTATGCTACAAAATTTGTATTAAAAGCAACCCTAACACTTTGAGATTTGGATTTTAATAGTTTCAACAATTATTCTTCAAGTTTTACTTGAACATTTTAGAGAAATCATGTTAAGTTCTAGATTTTTAAGGTTGGGGATTTTATTCCATGCATAATAAATACGAGTTTATCTTCCGCAATAATCACTAAAAGCAATCGCATGTGATATTTTATGCATTTAATAATGAATAAAAAGAGAAAAACATCAGTATTTACCGTGTCTGAGTCGACAGGCTGGAACATCAAGTCTGGTGCTTGCTGGAACGCCATGTTCTTCTGCACAAACAGCTGCTGGTGAAACTCCTGCAGAACCTGCATGTGTTTCAAGGGAACAGACAAAAATATACATATATACTTATTTAAGGTTTATCACAAGCTTACAAATCAGCCCATGTCTAAACCTGCATAATTAACACTTCGTAAAGCCTTTAGGGTTCAGGCTTGCTCCCTATTTAGTTTTAATTTCTTGTTCTATTTAAAATTAACTTGAACCCAAATCAGCTTTTTATTATTTTACACAAGTCAAACGAAAGAAAACGGCAATAACAATTAAGAGAATGACCATAAAGCCGTTTCTGGTTACTATCAGCTGATCTGAATGCTGATGACCACTCTGGTGTTTGTGGTCACAGCCTGACATTAAAAACGTATCACAGGCTCGAGTTCACCGCCTGCCTATTTTCACACAGACTATTTTTAACAAACGCTCACCCTCCAGCTGCTGAAAGCTTAAAGAGACAGTAAACAAATTACATAACATATCACTGTAAGTAACACAGGTGAAGGCACAAACAGTTTTAATTCTAATTTCAGGTTTTTTCTAAAGCCAGCTAAAGCAGCCGGGGACTGGACCACCACCTGGACCACAAAGCTCTCTGCCCACCCGAGGGAGGACGAAGTACCTGTGTGGATATTTTAAGCTGAACTCATGGGGCACAGCTATCAGCTGTTCTGGAAAACAAAGAAACCTCCCCAGTACTGGTCCCAGGCTGGTAACTTTGGTCTTTTGAATTGTACTTAAGTTTGGCCCCTCATCAAGAACCAGTTGCCTTGGGGAGACCATACCAGGGGACAGCATAGCTTCTCCTCCTCAACTGTGATCATTCACAGAAAGGAAAGGAGCCAGTGTAGGTGGTTTGACTGGCATCTGAAATAGGAGGCCTCCAGAATGTCTCCTAGACGAGCTGGTAAGGGCAGACCAAACACACACTGGACACATTGGGACACATTATGTATCTTGGCCGGCTCGCCGTGGTATCCCAGTATTCGCTGCCTGTCTGTTGTCAGACGCATTTGTGTGACCATAAATACCACTTAAGTGGGAAAAGGAACTTCTGGACATCTCTGCTTGGACTGCTGACTCAAGTGTCAAAAAATGATTTGATAGAGGAACTTGTATTGGAAAAAAGAGGAGCAGGGTATTGATCCCTGTTGATTTACCCGTCAGTCTACAGTCATACCTTTACCTATGACTAAAATCTGACACAAATGAGCATCTTCTGAAGGATGTCTGAGCTCTGCCTTAGAAACATGATGAAGAGCTGAGTTATTTGGAAAGCTACTCGTTTACACCAAAAGGCACCAGAGTGGCGGCTCGCTGTTCTCCAGGAAGAGCAGGAGTAGGTGGCTGGGGAGGGGGACGTCTGGGCATCTGCTTAGATTGCTGCCCCATGACCGGACTCAGATAAGCAAGAGAAAATAGATGGAAGGAAATCAGGTTTAGTAATATCAGTTTTATATTCTTTAAATCAAAATCTCTGATGTATCATGACAAATATTTCTTATTAAGGTCTTTATCCACTTTTATCTTTATCTCCACACAGTAACATTACATTATATTTTCTCATATCAGTATGAGATTACAACAACAGCTTTTTTTGGCCCCCAAACTCCAGATAAACAGGAAAAAGGAGCATTTGGACAGTCATTTGTCACAGTTTGGGTCAAATCTGGACAGAGCAGGCGGTGTATACAGAACATTCTCAGTTTACTACTGAACTGAAACTAAAGAGGAGAAAGAACTGGAGTATAAAAAATGAAACATGAATGCACTGTTGGGAGTAAACTGTGATAATAGCAATCTAAGTTCAACAATTGTATTTATCTGAGAGGCATTACTTTCCTCCCATCAGACCTGTAGAATACAATTTAAACTCACTTTAAACATGCTGTTGTGCAACCCCTGCTTTAAAATACCAAGCTTAGATCCTTCTGTGAAATGTCAAACCAAACTCCAGACTAACTTTTCAGTCTAAACTGGAAAAAAAACCCTTTTAGACCCAAATGAAGTCCTTCCTGGATGAACAAGCAATTTTGGAAGTGTTCCAATCTGGCACTAAAACTCACTGAGTCCGCTCTGTTAAGACTTTTTAAATTACATTTTTTAGCAGCTGACTCGGGTGACTGTGTGCTGCTTGTGTTTTTGGACTTAACACCTGCCTTGGGCCATGGACACACCATGGACCATGAGATCTTTATCTATAGGTTGGTGTGGTGGGTGGGCATCACTGGCTAAGCTCTCTGGTGGTTTACGTCCTACCTCTCTGACAGAAGTTTCTGTGTCAGCACTGATGATTTTACCTCCACCTTTACTCCCATCCCTGGGGTGGGGGGCCACAAGGCTGAATTCTTGGACCTCTACTTTTCTCTCTGTACCTGCTGCCTCTTATTGTTTTTCAGAAACACGGCATTTCTTTTCCTTGTTACAAGGATGACTGTCAAGTTTATTTCCCAGTAAAGCACATTGCTGTGTTCCCTGTTCAGCCTCACCTTGACCTCCTTATTGACATTGAGATGGACCATCATTACATATTTGGGTGATGATACCCAGTGGTAAAATACTGTCAAAATTAAGACCCTTCTCTTTAAATGCAATCTTAAAACAGTAACGCTTGCTCTTATAATAATCTCCTCCCACTGCTGCAATATGCTTCTTATTGGAATAAGCCAGGTCTCCTTTGCTGACCTACAGACGCTCGATTTGTAACAGGTACAAGTAAAGAAGAGCACATCACGCCAACTTTGGCTTCCCTTTACTAGCTTAAGGTTCATTTAAAAATACACTTACATTATTTTTAATAGTTATGCCCCATTAAAATGGGGAAAAACTATTAAAAATGAGATGTTGACTGTGACCTTACCTTTCTCTTTAAGCAGTCCTTTATTGTTAACGTCTACATCTCTTATGTATCTTTTACTCTCTGGCCTGTGTTTGTCTTTCATGTTTGGTTTTATTGTGCGGCCCTGTTGTTTTAAAGTGCTTTATGAATAAAAATTGGATCCTATGGTATATTTAGACCACAGAACTCAAAACAAACAATAAAACATTCATGAGAGTTTCGTCCAGTCAAATCAGAACGTCACTTTACGCAGAGCACACATAAGATCTGTTTCTGTGTTGACACAGGAAGCACATGGGCTGTAATGTGAGCCCTGCCGAAAACCGCTGCACCCACCGCTTCCCTCACTCTTCCCTCTGATTTGTTCAGATTCAGGCCTGAGCAGCAACAAGATGCCCCTCTGAAGGTGACCTGAGAGGCCAACGGGAGCAGCGTGTAACCAAGGAGCGGCAACGTAACTCAACCCATTTAAATTAATTAGCAGTTGGTGAGGCGCTCGACTTCAGCTCTTCTAAGGTTCGCAAAGCAAGTTACTGAATTTTTAGAGCCCTCCAAAAGTGATCAAAAGAAGGACTGATCCACATTTACAATAACAGACCTAATGACTACAGCACTGCACTGGGATCAACAATATGACTGCATGAACATAAAAAACTGGGTCATCAGAGAAAGGTCAAAAACATAGATGGTATCTGAGAGATGGACTCAAAGTGAGCTTTTGCCCTCTGCCACGTTACATTTCTGTAGCCAGAAGTTACCAAATTCGGATGAGAGGGTGGATTGCTATCATGCATATATATGTATATATATGTACTGCTAAGTGGCAGATTAAAAACTATAGAAGTATAGACTTCTTGGATGGTCTGTGTTAGGGTTAAACATCAATCAAAGCAGTCACAACACAGTCAACTCCAGTCTCTACATGGATGGCTTATGGAATAAAGTCACCCCTCCCAGAGTTCTTAGAAAAGGAGAAACTATCCATAAAGACCAAACTACTTTATATACTAGGCTGTAAACATGCTTATAAGTGTACGGGGACTGACTCATTTACTTTGAGACTGACTCCAACAACCGTGTGACATGACTGGTGAGCTTCCCAGTGTGTCAACAGTAGGCATAACCAGTGCCAGTGTTTATTTTACTCCTACATCATAAGTGTCATTATTGCAAAGCTGTATCAAACACAGCTTGTTCAAGCATAACTATGCATATTTTTGAAAAAACTGTTTTGGTTTTGCCAAAATTACGTTTGTGTCCAAAGTAAATTTTGAATTTTAGGACCAGATGCAGTAAACACCTTACGGCATAAACTGACTGACAAAAATATTTTTACACAGAAAGCCAAGTGGTTTAACAAAACCCAGTCTATTATACACAAAAAAGTGCTGCACATGTTCCAGCTTTATTCCTGGAAAATGTGGTGGACACAGTTTATAATATAGTCTGACTCATCTTTCATTTAATATCAGTCTGTAGTCCTTAGCGGTAACTTTAAACCTTACTCTAATGACATACAACCAGAGCGGCCAGGCCTTTCAAACAACAGCTGAAGTTACAGAAAAACAAAACAAACATGCAGCTGCACACCTGAAGATATCTTTGGTACAAGCATTTATTTCAGGATAAAATTAAAAATGTATTTATTTACAGTGTGATTTTCTGGTCTTACTGACCCACTACAAGCCACAGTCACCCTTTTTTCTGACACAGCGCTTTATCTTAACTAACGCTGGGTTGTGGGAAGGCTGGAGTCTATCCCAGCCGTCACAGGGTGAGATGCGGGGTTACACCCTGGACAGGCTGACAGTCCAGTGCAGTCCAGTCGAGTTTTTGCAAACCACTTGGAGTCTACCTAAAAAACGCATGCTTAGCTGTTACATCTGACTCACTCTCACATTCACACCTACAACCACAGTGTTACGGTTAATCACAGCACCACCATGCTCTCTTACTCCACATTCAGCTTTAAGGTTAAGCAGGTTAATTAACCACAAACGGGTCTCTGTACCTGCCTATTTGGTACAGACATGGGTGTGAGGTGGTGGATGTCCTGCAGGCTTTAAGACTCACCCCATTTGAGCTGTTGAGGATCTGGTTGAAGATGTTGTGGACAGCCTGGTAGGCTTCTAGCTCTGTCTGACACAGTGACACCAGGTAATCCTTTACCTGCTCGTAGATCCTCCCATCTAAAATCTGTATACAGTGATAGAAAGGTGTGTTTAGATTTACACCATGTCTCCTTTCACCCACCAATTCAGATGTATATATGCTCACCTTGATGCAGTCAATGAGGTCTGTGTTGTAGTAGCGCTGCTGGTGCGCATTCGCGGCTGCAAGCATGAGAAGGTAGTCGTTTCTGGCGTGCGTGGCTTTGGAGTTGCACTCGCTCCGCTTTGCTTTCAGCTAGAAGAGGAAGAAAAGTTTAAACAGCTCATACAACAAAAACGCCACTAAACGTTGGGCTCGTGGACTCAAGATCTTATACCTTTACGCTGGCCCTCTGAAGACTGGATCTGGACTGGAAGAGACTCAGCTTTGACCTGCAGATAAGATACAAAATCATTTCTCTTTGGTTTTTAACATGAGCATCAATGTTTTGCCTTTTCCAGTTTAACCAAGTAATCAAATTTAGGCTGACAACATAAAAAAGGAGCCTCAGTTGGATGTGCAATTACAATAAGTACAAGAATGTACCAAAAGGTGTCAATACCTCACATGGAGGAGAGGTCAAGTTCAGGGACAGTTATTTAAGGTGAGCCCAACAACTGCCCATGTAGAAACATCTATCAATCAAACAGGCCACGCCCCTAAATCCAATAGCCAGGTACTCACAAAACAAATAAATATCTAAAACAAAATAAAACTCATTCTCTGTGCTGTTAGGAAAAGGAAAAATACCCACAGAGGCAAAAACTGCGAATGGCACTTTACATTAGTTAGCCATCAAGTGTGTAGATAAGCTGAGGTTGCAGTAAAGTAATTAATGAAACAGAAGAGTGTTGATAAACTATGAAACGAGCCTGACTGTAGAAGGAGATTATACTCTGTGGTCATGGATGAGAGGCCTTTCGTTTTATAATTTTATCAAATCTGCTTCATGTCTGCTTGAGAGACACAGGAGCAGCTCATGAACTATAGCGTTGTATCTTATTTGTCTCATTATGACAAATTAAAACCTACATTAGAAGGAAGTAAAAATCGAAAGACAGCAGAACAATCAAAACAATGGAATCTGTGTAATGACCATTAACACTACTACAGTGACACATTTAATACCCACGTTACTCTGCTGGAAGCGGATTGTTTACAAAATTAACATATGTGCATTTTGAACATGATATTTCCTTTTAATTTTAATGCTTTTTAATGTTTGATGGTAATTACCTTTGTCCACCTATAGTAAATCAAAAATTAAAATCCATGCTCTTGTTTAATCAGGTAACTCAGTCAGATGACTTTTATCTAATGCAGTTTGAGCCTCAATATTTATTTCCAAATAATTATTGGAATTTTAACCTCATGGCACACCTGCAGTAATGTCGAAAACTACAAGAGATTCCCTTCCACAGTGTGACCACGAACAAAGATATCACTATAGTCATTTCACATTGCTTCTTTTTTTCCTCTGATTTATAGTTTGAACCCAATTTTAGACATATTGTAAACAAGAAACACATCATCATCACCTGTTTAACTCCTGGAGAATAACACGATATATATACAAATAACCAGGTCTCTCATCTGATTTTTATGCATGCGCAGGGTGGATGAAACGACGGCAGGAAGAAGAGTAAATAATCGTTTCCACTGCTGAATGTTTAAACCAAGCTGCTATCATAATGCGTTTAAGATAATAAGAGATCCACTTTGATAAAAAAAATAAATCTGAGCAAAGGCTGGAACTGATTACAGACCTGCTGCTTCCAATTTAAACCCTGACGATGTGCAATAACAGCTGCATGAGTGTAAACAATTGTGAGCAGAGCAGTTTGTGTGAAATTATTAAACTTTAGTCTTCTCTTCTTACTGGAGTGTTTCATTCTGCAGATTTTCAAAAGGCAAACCTCAGAGGAGTCATCTGAGAATGTGTGCGTGTGTGGACACAACAGACCAGAAAAACACAGCATTTATAGTATTATTTGTAAGTGGTGGCCCAGCTATCAATCCTCTCCGACAGCCTGGTAATAAACTTTCCTGATGAGCAGAAAAATGTCTGCTATGTGGTGAGTCAAAGTGCCAGCTGTTCATGTCGTGCCAGGCCAAAGTGCCTCCATCGAGTCATGCAAAGAGCCTGAGAGCTGCTTGTTTGATAAAACTAAAAAATGTTGTTTTTTTAGAATTTTCTTCTCTCGACTAAAATGTGCTTTGATTTTCGTTGGAACTTTTGATCCACTCAGAGCAAAATAATGTGCTCAGATCTGAATTTAAGAGCTGATTTGTGACATCTGATTTGGAAACTATTTCTGTTAACTTAAACCTCGGAAATTTCTCATTTTCAGTGAAATAGGAGAGATTATGTCGAAGTTTTGCAAGTTTTTAATACGAAGGAGTTTTCAGTGACAGAAGAAAGGCAAATCAATTAATTTACAGAAGAACCCCAGTACATACAAGTGATAATTGCTTGCTGTGCTTTTCAGCACATCTGGAGTTTGTTCTAATTAACTGATCTGCAAACAGGCGTCAACAACATCACTGTCATATTATTAATCAGTTTATTTCCAGTGCAGCATGGCGGTCTGCTTTTTCTGACTCCCTTTGAGTGACTTCAAGAGGTTTTTATTTCTGATCTGACTGAGAAACTCCACACATATTGGCTCACAGGTTGTGAAAAAAAGAAGATAGCCCATGACGATACCTCTTTCTGACTCTTAGGATCACTGTAATTTACCAAATGCACTTTATGTTTCATTCAGTGTGATCTAGAATTAGACACTGAGTCCATAAACTTCTCGGGAAAGTGCTTACAGAGGTCACAGACCAAAGGGACATTTTCCCGTAGCCATGTGTGGATCAAACGTTACAGTTAGAAGCGCTACCAATGAGAGAGTGGTGAAAGTTTTTCAAAATAAATGACAGAAAGTCATGAAACTGTCTGATTTTTGGTACAGAAAAGAAGAAAGATACCATTTTTTCCATTACTACCCTGATCTACTGAGGCCATTTTCCACAAACAAATACTTATCATTAAAATGTAGGGGTTTTTTCATCATAACTGCCTCTACAGGCAGCAGCAGAGGCAGATCTGGTTTTACCTTAAACTTTAGCATAGTCTAACAAAGAGAGTAGAGTAATTTGGATCATACTTTGCGTCCAGCTCTGCCTTCTCTCGGACTGCCTGCGCCATCGTCTCGGCCTCCTGGTACTTCTTCCTGCTCTTGGTCAGCTCCTTCACTGACTCCTGCAGCTCAGCTTGGACCACAGTCAGCTGCTCAATACACTGATGACATCAAATTGGAGACATCGAGAACAAAAAACAAAACAAATAAGGGCTTTTACATCTACATGCAACCGCTGAGAAATATGCAAATGCCCTTCAGGCATATCTATACAACACATGGAGTGAGTAATGACATCATGGCACACGCTACATACAGGAGCTTTGATGGAAACTCCCAAAAAGGTGAGGCCCAACAAGAGCAGCACTGTAGGCTGCAGGCATTGGAACGTGGCCATTAGAAACCAGAACGTGGCACAGAGGCGTCAGACATTACGATGAGGAAAAAAACTCCAGACGTGCAGAGCTAACTGCAGAGCTGATAGCAGCTCTAAATGATAATAGGAGACAGTATTGTGAACTCTGCCCTTCAAAGGCTGACTGTTTATTACACCGTTTACAAGAACCTGCACTTTCCACTGGGTAGTAACACTGACCTGAAGACGAGGAAGATGTGACTATGTCTACTCTGCAACGTCATCGTTGTGATGGATTTTTACCAGAAAGTGACGCTGCGTTCCAGGAGCACCATAACGGCAAGCCTGTCTGAAGTTATGAAGTTTCTTTTTTAGTGACTTGCCTGCTCAGATGTTTGCTCCCTCCTGTGAGCACTCTTTTCCCATTAACCTTCATTTTGTATGTCTTGAACAGTCCTCCTTTCAGTGCATACACCCTCTCGTCTCAAAAACTGCCTGACTTTCAAAATAAACTTTAACTAGGAATACATAAAGTTATGTGAAAATTCAAAGTTTTGTGTATCAGAGCACAACAAAAATTAAGAAAATTATCTGGTCTTTACCAAGTCCTAATAAATTAGGTAATTACAAGCTCAGATGAATAATAACACATGACATATTCCACTGTCATTTATTTAAAAAGATCTAAACACACCCTTACCTCCTCTGTGCGAATTAAGAGGGTAAGTAGTAGCCAGGTGCTACTTAATCAACTGTGATCACCTCAATTAAAGCAGAAGTTTTTGCAAGTTTTCAGGTCTGAAGCTTTCAGGTGTGTGATAACACAAAGCCCCAAACTTACCAGGAGTCAGTGTTCCAGCAAAATCACCACAAGGTCAGACTATCAGCACAAACACCTCAAACCAACTGTCAGCACAGCAGTTAAGGGGTCATGATCTGGGCTTGTTTTGCAGCCACAGGAACTGGGCACTTTCCAGAACTCCTCCGTATAACAAAGTACTCTAGATTTAGAGCTGTTCAATAGCTGAAGCTTGGCTGAATTTAAATCATGCAGCAGGACAATGATTATGAGCACAGAAGTAAATCTACAATCGAATGGCTTAATAAGAAATTAATCATAATGTTAGAATGGCCCATCAAAGTCCAGACCTCAACTTGACTGAAAAACTGTGGTGGCAGCTTAATAGAGCTGTACATAAATGAATGCCTGCAAATCCCAACTTTTCAAGCAGAGAGGGTTAAAATTCCCCTATGATGTGAGAGACTGAATAATTCAGAAAACAATTACTTCAAGTTATAGATCCACCTTTACCAGCTACCGAATCACGCAGTGTACTTAGTTTTTCTACACACTTCATAAGCATGTTGACTTAGTGTTTACACAACGACACAGTTCAATATGATTATTTTATATTATGTTTTCTTTCAGTTTGGGCTGGACTGACATGGTCACCATATGGGCAAACCCATGTGTGTCTTAAACCACATCTGTGTGGTCCTGTGTGTAGCCACAGGTTCAGCCACTGGTAACTGATAATTACCGATGCCTGCTCCTTATCAGAAACTTTCACATAATGCAAACAGTCTGACAGATTCTGTTGAAGTCGGCCATGGTTCTCTCAGAAGTGGAATTTAGCTTGTGGCACCACAACCTAATGTTGGCGTCAGCCAACTTCTCCAGACACTTGGGCTGAGGGCTGTTGAAGTCAAACGTTAGGAAGCTTTAGGTGTTATGTTGTCCTTTGATTTGCCCATAAAAGAAAGGGATTCATTTTCCATCTTATCAACCTTACTGATGTTAAACATGGCCTTTCATGTGTCACAATTAAATAACTCCCACCATGCAAAAGGTACATAAACAAACTGGGGTTAACATCATATTTTTAAACTATTTTTCAGGATAATTAGTACTATATAGCAATTTAACAACTTTATCACAACATTTTTTTCCCATTTTGTGCTGCAATCATAACTGATGCACACTATCTGGGGATGACAGCACTACACGAAATGGAAAAAAGGGCAGATAAAAATGACATCAGGGAAAACTGCAGTCGAGCAGTCTGTGACTTCATCATTGTTTTACAGAAACAGGCAAGTATGAAAAGCAGAACTTTATCATTAGTGTGTGGGCATGTCACACCATTTGTGTGTTGTGTGTTAAAAATAATGAAAGCCACTTTGTTCCTGTTGGTGTGCATGAAATAGGAAGCCAGCCGACTTGACTTCAGCTTCCACTGTCACAATTTTGAGGTGGTTGTTTGAGGACAGAAGGCGTCTTCGGATTTAGTTCACGAGAGCCATTAACATCTGGTTAAACAGCATCATTTAGTGTCTGAAGGTCTAAACAGTAACCAATGTGAGCATCATGCTTCTAAAACCATCAACTTCCCTTTTTCACTTTGGGGAAACAAGATAAACACCCTGCATTGCATCAGTACAGCAGTGCACGTCAATGTAAGGACAGAAGTGAGACCTGCAATACCTTCCTAAGCTGCTGCTCCTTCTGCAGTCGTGCTGTCTTGGCTGCGTCGGCCACCTGGACTTTGTAGTTGTCGCAGGTGCTTATTCTGGACTGCGTTGCCTGGACCATACCCTCCAAATAGGCCCTCCAAACACAATACATGTTCCTAAAAACAAACAAACGCAGATTGATGCAGTGAGACATTTTTCGCCATAACGAATGGTAAGTGAGTAACTAAACAGCTAGAGATGCACTATTAAACAAAATAGGATATGGTCTGACGTCCCATCGGGCTATTGCGTGAACTCAAATGTATGACGACCCTGCAAACAAGCAAACAATCCAAAATTCTCCCTGATTTGAACCAACAATGATAAATGTGTGAGTAAATACAGGCAACAACCTGTATACAGGAAGGATGGAAAGTCTAGGCTTCATTATTTACTAACATAATTATTTAAGACTAGATGTTTAGTCTGTTTGTGATTAATGAGAAATGTGTGTTATAAATTCCCACAGGCCAAAATGACGTCCATGTCCGATATAATCAGCTCACTGTTATGTGACATTTGACAAGCTGGATTTCAGTGTTTCAGACGCCCAGCTGTTTTAACCACCACCCAAATACATTTTTTGTTTCTTTTTTTTTTTTTTCAATCACCCGAGATAACATCGTCATTGACTTATTGTCGAACAATACCCTTGCTTTTACTTTGAAAGTTCAGCCGCTGCTATCAAGCTGTTGGAATGCTGGTTAGGTCACTGCTGTGGTGGTCCTCCGTCAAATAAAGGAGGAACAACTTTAACTACAACCTGAAGCAGGTGGAGAGCTTGTGATATATCTGATACCCTGAGCTCAGAGCAGAATAAACTACTGCAAAAATGAAACATATTTAGTGTTTTTTCTGTATCTTCTCTATGATACAGTTATGAAGTAGAGTAAAGACAGTTTAGCAATCTAAACCAAAGGGATGGAAATAGGAGTCTGAGGCTGGCTCTTAAAGCTGTCGTAGAAGCCAACAGTTGGTAAAGACGCAAAGTTTCGGTGTTTTTTTGCTTCAGGCTGGGGTCCTTCTAGTGACAATGGTCAGATCTATTTAATTCAACTCTATGCTGTTCTTTGTTTTATGTGCTGAGTAAAGGATGGAGGAAGCACAGCATGGCAACCTGCAGGTATTTCCTACCTGCTCCAACAAATTTTATTTCTCTTTTTTAAATTTTAACTGCAAACTGTGGTCGAAGTGAGCTGACACGACGTAAAAGATCTGGTGATAACAATGCTTTGGTTCGCCTTCTCTCCCTAGTTTACTTTCACTGTCATTGTGTTCGGCCAGGTAGACGTTATCTCTAGACTATATTCTAGACAACGTCATAAAAGGGAAAAAAATGTCCTATTCTGATTGCACAGAGTTAGTGTTTCCACTGATGACTTGAGATCAAAGGGTTAATGTCAGAGGTAGAATCCAGGAAGGCCTTGGCGTGTTGTAACACTTGTTGTAATGCTTTTATTGCGCTTACTGTATGACAACACGTTGTCACCTCAGTTAATGCTATTTCCTTTCAGCTGTGTCTGTCAGCTTCACACCCAACTCATGAATGTGAGAAAGTTCAGGAAAGGGAGAAACCGTGTGACCGTAAATGACAGCAGCCTGATGACTCTCTCTCTCTCTCTCTCTCTCTGTTTATTAATTTGATATAGTTGGATGTATTGTTCAGTCATATCTTATTTTACAAAGTTAGGAAAGCCATTTTACGTTGCATTACATGTAAAGGAGTGATTCACAACTTAGCACTAGTTTTAGATCAAATAGCCAAAGCGAGGCGCTGGTATCGTTGCAGAAAGGGAAAAAGTTGTACTTGTGCATGTCTTTAATAATAATGAGACCAGAAAAGATTAAATTCAAGAGAAATTATTGTCATAGTATGAGATGAACGTGCCATGTTTTATCTTTTCTTGATGTGATTGAGAGTGCACAAAATTTTAACAAGGACCCCTCACCACAGCTTAACCCCCCCAACCCCACACACACAAAAACAACAACAATAAACAAAATCAATAAACAATAAACAGTCCAAAGCAGCATCTGTGTGTTTTGGAGAAGGAATTTACCTGTGGTCTGACGGTTCTTCTGTCTCTGGCCATTCTCTCTTTAAATACTGATTTGCCAGCTTCTGCAGGGCCTGCAAAAGAGGAAGTGAAAAACAAAAGCAGCGGTGACCTTTCACCTTTGACACCACTCCACATTTCACACGTCTCTTCTTCACAGAAGATGCACTCAGAGGACTGTGACCCTCCCTGACCTTGTCCTATAAACCAGCGGGTGGGCAGAGCACGAAGAGACAAACTCTACTCTACCCTTCAGGCACAGATAGAGTAAACTCAGTAAAAACAGCTGTGATAAAAGTAAGCCATATGAAACTGTCCACATTCACTATAAAGTATGTTCTCTATGGAATGACTTCACAGTGCATGGACTCGTTCACCTGTCAGCCAAAGCCTTGTTTGGATGCTGGCTCACTTGCTGGTTTTTATGCTGACGTGGGCTCTTTTTTTTTTTAGCAGAAAAATGTAATTTATTTAGACCACATTCAGCCCTGGAGATATATTAGGTTCCTCCACCTCAGCCAATGGTGAGGTTAACCTTTGAAGGGCCAAAATAGCAGGACAGGGTGAGAGCAGGAGAAGACTGAGTATGTTTGGTATGTCAGAGAGGTGCGCTAACCTGAATAAACTGACGAAAAGCAAACATGAATATCTTTAGCAGCAGACATATAATGTTGGAGCGACAGTATTCGTATTAAAAATAATCAACGCTTTAAATAAAAAGGCTGGAGTATTAGTACTAGTTATTTATCCTACAAACATATCTGTGTGATGAGAATCTGCAGGCGAGTAGCAGCCTGAGCTACACTGAAAACTGGCATTTAAGTGAAATATGAAGGAAGTTCAGCAAATCCAGGTCACCTTATCTGGCTTCCCTTAACCTAACATCATGAATCAGGCTAAGTGGTCACATGTAGGTGGCTATCAACTGAATAACTCAATGCAATGTTTCCCAATTTGGCTACAAGCGAGTTAAGATGGAAAAGGCGCGGTTGGGAGCAGAAACATGGATATGTCTACTGGGCTTATATTTATTTTATTGTATTCTTTTAAACAAACAATGATAAAACTGTAATTTTAGAAAAATATTTGGCAGTATAACACATAATACAGGCGGAAAGCAGCACAGCTGCTGCAGACAAAGCAGCAGTATGACTTAGAGGGAAAGCGTATTATTAAAAATGTTGTCTAAATGTGTGTAAGCCTTAATCAGTAAGGCTGGAAAAGTGTTTGACTGTGTAAGTTAGCAGTCTTATCACAGCTCTGTCATTAAAGGCAATGGATAATCTGATGTATAATTACAATTTTTATTTTGTTAAATTAATGTTTACACGACTGTAAGATCATTTCAATCTTCCAGCTCGGTAGCATTTAACAGTCTGACACAGAGTAAAGAATAGAAAACAACATTAAAACACAGGCTTAGACTGCTTCCAAATTTAATTTAAGAGCTATGAGGCTTATAGAATAAAACTGTTTTCAAACTGCAGCCAAGAGGAGTATGAAAGGAATAAAAGAAGAATAATAATTCATGTTTCTTGCTGATGCTCATCAGGGAAAGAACCTCTCACTATCTGCACACAGTGGTCTGAGAGATCTTCCTGGATTGGATCGATATTTTCCAGAGATTTTATTGGTCAGTAGTAGGTGGTTTTGTACCTGCTGACCTCTAATCCTGAACACAACCTGTTCCACAGCAGGTTAGGTCTGCAACAGAGCTTACCATGGCGATCTAATGTGGAAAAAAGTGAGCTGCTTTCTGAAAACTGAGGGTTACACCTGAAGCTACCTTCACTAAGCCCCAATTCTTGCCTTGTACTCCAAGGCTTCGGTTTTGTCCCATGTAGGTAAACACTTGTGTGGAGAGCAGAAAAGGGAACACATTTCCCAAATTACAACCTGGGAAACAAATCTAATCTCACCCTGGACACAAATGAAAACCCAAATCTTGTCTGTTGTCTCCAGATAACAGCCTCAGGTAGCCTGTTAGTGGTGTGCTTGAAGCATTTGCTACTGTTTTCAAATGGTATGTGCAGACATTTATCTCATACAGCAATATATGAATCCCACAAAAGTAAAATAAATACCTAAAATTTATTTGTATTAATTTCATGCCAGAATCAAACTCATTATATTCAATATAGTGATGCATGTGAGAACACCAGGAGAAAAAAAAAGCAGCAAAACTTCATTTATAGATCAGTTATAATAGTAATAACAGATTGGCTTCACTTCATTTAAACATCTTATTTTGTGAGGATTACCGGGCTTAAACTGGGGAACAATACCACCAGAACAGAATTTAGAGTGGATAGATCTGGGTGCAGACAAACTGACTTTCCACTTCATGTCAACATTTTCTTTTTATTTAACTCGTGCCTATCAAGAATGTGAGCCTGTCTATCCTCTCTCTGTCCACTGTGAAAAGACAGGCCCTGTCATGCGCTCCTGAGGCAGGCTAGGCCGGGACTCTGAACCCACTGGTCTTGGTGATCTTGGTGCCAAAGCTTCAAAGGCACTACAGACCAGGCCATTGTGAGCTGCAGATAGAGAGATTCGCCTACTGAGCTAGCATCGCAGACACGCCTGAATGGTGTGATGGGAAAAAGGACAGGGGAGGAGGAGGAGGGATGTGAGGATGGCAGAGGAAGAGCCACACAGAGGGGGACATTTAAATCACACCGTGTGGTCTGAATAGCAATCGGCTAATGGCTATAGCAGCTTGCAGGTGTAAGGGACCAAGAAAAAGGCGCATAAAGAAAAGAGATTTGGTAGAAAAAACTGGAAAGAGGGGGGTGTTACCAAAAGGAACAAGAAATCCAGAGACACTCTGACCCACTTTGATTCAACCATTGGCAGCGGGTCTCTAACTGATCACATAACTGAGAGGCAGCCCAACCCAGGCACACAGAACACCTTTGAACCTAATGCAGCACTCAATGAAGACATTTACTTCATTTCAGGCCTGCAACGAAAGATTAATGAGTCTGCCAAATTTACAATACATATACGAGACGATATTATTAAGTGTGTTTAGTCAACTTATTTTTCTTCTGTTTAAGGCTCATTTTTGACATGTAAAGAAGCAAAAGAGCCAACATAGAAACTTCATATGATGTTTAAACAGGTCACAAAACATTGGACTTTTGATTACGGATGTTTTGTGCTGTGGTATTTTCTGGTATCAGTTAATCTAGGGATCATTTTCCCCATTAATTGGTTAATCCTTTAGCCTGTAAAACATCTGAAAATTTGAAAAACAGCTTATCAGATCATCTCAGAGCTCAAGGAAACGATTTCTACTTATCAAATACTCAAATAAAGGAAAATATGATGGCGTCAGTTGTCTTATTTGCCAAGTTTTGGCTGATAAATAACATAAAACTGAGAAAAATCAGATCATGCATATAGTTAGTGAAGAACAACTGATTATCATTTTGGAAATACGGACGCCATAATTTAGTCCCCTACAAACAGACTGGGTTTGATTACTGTTCTCCTGTTTATGGCTCAAAGTAACATTTCATTAAGCGTCTGATCCTTTAAATCTTTGAATGCAGCAAAAAATAAATGCCCGATTCTCACGCAGACATTAATCCAAACTCTTTTTTCTGTCTGATCAAACACTTAAAGCCCAAGACATTTAGCTTACTGCCATAATATTTACAAATATCAGACAAAAAAACCCTGAACTTTGCACACCTGAGAATCTGGAACAACTAAGTTTTTAAAAACCCAGGTGATTCATTATTAATCAAAATACTTTCTCACAGTTATGTTATAAAAGACCACCTGATGTGCTCTCATCTGACAAAGATCTGTCAAGGTCTCGTGTTTATTAAACATGCGAGGATAAAATGTTTGAAACGTTGTGGCATGCATATCCAATAAAACACACATGCACCGGGTTACTGAAGCTCATCTGCAGCCTGAGCTCAACTCTCAGCTGGATACTCACACGTTTCTATTTGAATGTCCTCTCTGCATTTGTGTCAAAAGGGATTTTTATTTAAAAGCTTTACTTCCTCTTAGTCTACCTACAGATCAGCTGATAAGTACCTTTAAATATTAATATCACATCCACATAATTTTAACCTAGCCTATGAGGCTATAAGCCCAAATTCATTTTGTGATGTTATAGATGAATTTATAATTGGAGACACATTAATCTATTGTTGTTCAGTGGTTTTGAAGTTTGCTATTTTCTTGGTATACGAAAATGTATTTTATGTGAGGTGACGTTTCCTCTTTTACAATCTGTAAAGAACAATATATTTGAATGTGTGTGTGTTTTGTCCACATGACGGGTATTGAAGCTGTCTAATTCAGTGTGGCCCGTACACACCTAGTACATTTAAACCTGGTTTATTAAGTCAGGCTTATTTAACAGCTCATTTCAAATACTCGTCTCTCTCAAAGAAGTTTAAATAAATATTTCTCTTAGTTCACCACAAAAATATTCACCTTCACACTACCCCGGTCCTGTTGTCATGCCTCTTACAATCAAGTTCCTCCACAAAAGTCCCTTTTTACTTCTGCATTGTTAAAAAATTGTGTGAAGCCAATCGAGCAACTATTATGTACCCACACTGGAAGTTTTGACAGCATCAATGGAGGAAATTGGTCCATAGACCTGCATTAACAACAACAACAACAACAAAAAAAACCCACACAAATCAAAACTTCAAACTTTAAAGTCCAACCAATCATTGATTAATCTGGCAATAAATAAATAATTAAATAAAATCAAGCATTTATGTGCCTCAGCCAATCTGACCAAATTAAAGAATCTGCAGAGGATCCCAGTAAGTTATACTTGTAATACCTGTATTCCATTTAAAATCTTAAAGGCTGGGTAAATTACACATTTTCAGCATTACTAGACAAAAATAGGTCTTCCACTTGTGAGAGTATAAAAGCCAAAGGTCAAGATTCACTCATTTGTACGCACATTAATTAAGGGGAGAGCTACAGGTAGGGTTGACTGATTATGGGAAAAATCTAAATCCAAATAATAAAGATTAAATGTAACTTTCTTTTCTTTTCTTTTTTTTTGGGTCAACACAAAAATCGAGCATTAAACATCGTGATCTCAGTACTCACACCTTCTGATTGTCTCCTTGAGGATCACAAATAGGATACAGGAGACAAGGGGGTGAAACTGGCCAACAGCCAGTGAGAATGCGCTTGACTCTGTGCCAAGGACACCAACACAGCTCACACTTAAGTTATACAAAGACTGATGTTGTGTAACACTGACCCCAGTACCCTGTAGCCCCACAGTACTCCCAAAAGGATTGCCTGGGGAACCTCACAGATCCATAAAACGCATGCAAACTGTACAGTCAAACTCCTATGACCCCTCCAGGAGTTCTGCAAAGGCAATGAGCGGGATTCACATATTTCAATTAACTGAACAGCCTTGGCTGCAAGAGTGTTTTTTCCTTCTACAGAGTTTGACATAACTGATGGCCAGTAAAAAAAATAGTTTTTTGGGTCAGTGATGATGTTTCCACTAAATGCAATTATGTGAGACAAACAGCTAGATGAATGCTATTTTTCTGGCTGTCAATGCTGTCATTTAAATCAAAGGAAGCATTTCAGGTAATAAAAATCACGTTCTTATTGTCATGGTCAATGACTCCGGTCATGCAGCATTTCACTTTCATTTGAGACTGTAAAACATATTTAAGAGCATGTGTGAATAAAATTATTTACACACGCCCACACATATTATTAGAAAAACCTTATTAGCCTGTTTATCTATAGGAAAAAGCTGCTATCACAGCTGAAGTGAAGATGTTACTTTCATAGATTAACGAGGATCTGCAGCTTCTCATCTCTGACATACAGCGAGCAGCAAAGATGCAACAGCACAACTACAACAACGAACCCAGGTGGAGTGACAGAAAACACTTTTCTAGAGTCGACAACAGCTGTGATCACAACCAAAACCTCTGTTAATAAAAAGCCAGTGGGGTTCTTAATAAAACCAACTTTTCAATGGAGTTTAAGGGAAAAGAAAAACAGTCTTTGGTTAGATTGCCACGATCACTTTCATTGGCATTTCCCTTGTAATTTTTCCAGGCTAACAGTGTCCATCCTCTCTGCAAGTCAAAAAAAGGGGCGCGGAGTATTCATTTCAAAGCTTGATCAGCTTATTTTACCCAACAGTGTATGAAGTAAAAGAAATTAGCTTCTTAAACAAAAGGCTAGTAAAGTTGACATAAAATACTGACACTGCACTGTCTAGTGGAATGTTAACCAAAGCTCTGTAAGGACGATAAGCTCTTGAGCATGACAGAACAATCAGGAACAGATATATACACACTGCAGAAAAGCATTCATTTTCTCTTCTTCTGCTGATGTTCTTTCCCTTCAGCTACCAGCTGGGCTTATAAAACAGATTAATCCTGTTTCCGTTTGTTTGACTTTTCACAATAAACCTCTTGAGCACCAGACACACATGTAAGGTTGCTGGTTAGATAACTACAGATGAGTCCCCTCTTTTCACAGAGCTGGTGGACATTCCTCACAGGGCTGCAAGACCTGAACAGAGAGGGGATTTTCAAACATTCGACTGGCGTCTCTAGGAAGCTGCGGGCAAAAACAACAGAGCGAGGAGGAAACGAGCCAGCGGATGGCTGGTGGATGCTGTTCTTCTCTCTGTTGTGGTGTTTTTTTCTGCGGCTGGTTTCCATTCATGAGCTATCTGGCCACATGAGAACTAAAAGCTTTCTTAGGGCCACATCCTCAACCTCACTGTCATATGGTGTGTTTGGTGGGCTGCATCGTAACAAATAAACGTATTTTTAGCAACAGAAATGACAAGGCAGCACAGCAGCGATGCTAACGCGCATCAGTAGTGGCGTGAAGAAGACGACAAAGAGATTTACTTACCTGGGCGTAGTCCCGCTCTATAGCTGCCCTCTTTTGGCTGAAAGTCCTAAACAGAAGAAAAGGGAGTACATTTGTAAAACAGCACAGCACAATTATGGATAAGACAACATACAACAAATCTACTGTTTGCATCCATAAATAAAACCAGGATTGCAAAGACAATATGAGTTGTGTTTACTTGAACTTCAGATTTTCTTGCCAGTATATACAGATTTCCAGTCAAAATGATCTTTCACTGTCATCTAATAACACACAGACATACATTGCTTTCATAGCGTGGTCAGAATGACACTTTGAGGTATGTGCCAGTTTGCCTTCTTCTTGTTGAGTGTATGTACCTGTCCTTGTGGCAAAATGTTCTGGAGAGACCTACTACAGTGGGAATTACCACAAAGTATTATTGGATTTTGGATATACAATAGACTGATATATCAGCATGGACAATATGTTGGCTGATATTAGCTATACGCCTATATATTGGTATTATATTGGTATCCTTTCCACTAGTAAGCACTCGGCTTGGCTTGACTCGGTTTCAGTCATTTTTCCATTACTACTGAGTACCACCTCAAGGTGGATGGGGTCGTCATAGCAACGCAGCCAAAAGTCACAACAATGGAGGACGGCAAAGCGATGGTGTACTTGCTGCTCGTTCTAAGCCTTTTTGCCAGATCGGGCAACAACAGAACGCATGCCACCGATTGGCTAGTCAGTGGCGTCACACGATGAGTCATGAGAGCGTCCTACTTTTGCAGAACACAGACTCTCTTAATATTGCACCTTAAAATCTAGAAACAATAATGTAAACATCACGTAACTTCTACTGTTGTAAGACACGTTTCTACTAGATATATCAGACAAGTTCACTCGAAAACCAAAAAAAAAAAAAAAAAAAGTCCAACTAGACCTGCTAATTTTAGCCACACTAACATTAGCAGTAGCTCATAATCAGACATGCAATATTTGTACACATCTGCAATTGAATGAGTCTACGGATTTTTTTCTTCAGTTTAATCGACCCTTCTCCTGTTCAAGACAAAGTGACAACACTTGACAATAAAGGTCCAAGAAATCATTAAGAATCTGCTGATGTAAACATATCCCACGTATCCCACACAAACCTATCCCATCTAGCATTTTTCAGGTATTTTATACCCGCATTACTAAAGTTGGGTACAGGAACCTGGTATTAGGGAGGTATTACAGACTAAAGCACTGATAATTTTTGACCTCAGTACTGAAAAATGATTGTGGATATAATGAACTTTGTCATCCATGTGTGAAAGCAACATTCTTTTGTGATACTACACAAGAAATGGTAACATAATTGCCTCCTGAGAAGTCATTAAACCTATATAAAGATAACAGTGGCAATAACATCAGAAACCACCAGAATCTGAAAACATACTGTGATAAAAAAAACACTCTTAAAACCAAATGACCACGCTTCCTGATTATTCTTAAGCTTTTATTACTCCCCCCATTCCACGTCATCCCCTTAGCTGCCGCCCTCTTTCTGTGATAATTAACATGGATGTTTCTAATGACACCATCTAGAAAAAGCCCTACATTTGTATCCTACATATCAGAGGCGCCGATCTTTTTTTATTGCCATTTCAATTATGGTTTTCTGTGAGATGCTCGTGGAAAACCAGCACTTTTTACTCACAATAACAGGAAGTTAATCACAATTCAACTTAAGTTTATGCAAAGTCTAAGAAAAGAAGAGAGGTCAGTGCCCTGGGAAAAATTCGAGTGAAGCAAAATCATCATTAAGTCGTTAAACATGTCGAGACTTGACTTCCATGCTCCACCCTGCCTCCAAACAATCTGCTGTACTTCCTGGGAGCTTCCCTCTCTTCCTCTTCACTGCATTTCCAAGGCTCCCTTTATCTACTGACCCCCACACTTACTTCCTGCCATTTTCCCAACCAGAGCTTTTGCTGACAGCCAGACGTAATTTCAAGTTTGCTGAATCATTTCTTGTCAGTGATTGAGGAGCGACCCTTAAAAAAAATCTGTACCAGCAGAGTTTCACATTGTTCCTGGCTGAGTAAAGTTGCTCACCCTCCCACAGCGAATGGTTCAGGGTAGTCAGAACATCTGGCAGCTCTCTGTGACCTTGACTTCCAGCTGTTTGGAGGTCCACAGCTCCACCACCAACCACAGACAGGAAGCGGGGAGCCAGTAGGCTGTCAAATCTAAGGCTCATGATACAACCACAACCTTTGGCTTTTAACTTTTAAAATGCCTACGCATCTGAACACAGAGCTCTCTATGTCACTATTTGTTTACTTGGCCCGATCCTCAGTTTTATAGACTAATCCACTTTGACTTTTGGATTTGGTTTCTTTAAAAAAGTGAAAAACAACCTTCAAATAGCCTCAGAAAAACGTAAGAAGAAATAATTGGTTTAATTTCTACTTTAAAGTGTGTAAAACGAAAACATGAGAATGATACTACAGAATAAAATCACATCATATTGTCATTTTGTAGGTAGATAATGGTGCCATTATCAAGAGATTAAATAAAAAAGAAAGAGAAGATTAACAAAAACTAGTCTTTGGCTATAAATTGATTTAAATTAGTTGCAGCTTTTGGCAGAGCTAAAATGTGCTTAAATGTGTTCTGAGGGCTCAAAAAAGATGAAAAAAAGGCAAATAAGAAAAGCAACACATTTTGGCCCACCCCTCTGTGCTTCAAGAGACTGTAATTTCTAAAATGTTCATAGTATAAAAAGAAAACTTGCATCCCACGAAAAGGTCATTGTTCAGAATAAATCTGCTGATTCTGAGCTTTGACTGACTTTTTATGGACACTTATTCATTCACATATTTACAACAGCAGATGCCTGAATCGGCACTGAGTAATGGCTTACAGTTATGTGTTTTTGCTGTAGCCCGTACATGAAGCCAGAAGTTTGCTAACTTAGCTAAGCACAAAGCTTCACTTTGTCCAAACATAACAACAAAGAGGCTAATTTTAATGTTTATAGACACCGGCTTTGACTAACCAATCCTGCGTGCCAGGAACAACTATAAGGAAAAATAAAAAAATACAATGCAAATTTGTGTTTTTAATTTAGTGCTTGAACTTGTGGTGGTAGAAGGAATCTCAGGGCATAAGAGGGACTACCAATACCAGCTGTAGAGCAAGGATGGGAGACCTGCTGGAGAAGCAGCTAAGAAGCTGAGGACCTGAGGAGTGCCATAACAGCAAATGAGCCAGATGTTAAGGAAAAAAGAGATGGGAAAGGTCACAGCAAGCTGTTTAGCCGCGACTAAACTCCCTACAATTTTTTGTTAAGTAAACGTTGAACAAATGAATTGGAGAATCATCCACATGGTGGACAATTAAGATAAACTCCATGAATTGTGATACACATAGCAGGAAAACCTGTGTCCTTGTTTCAAATATCAAGACTCTTCAGTGAGAAAATTATGTGTTTTTTGACTATATGGTACTATATATCCCCAGACATACTTGAGCAGCCTGGTCAAATAAAGTCTGTGTGTGCAAAACACTCCTATTTCACTATTTCATACGAACTCATTTTATTTCAGTGCAGTGAGTCTTTTAGTTTCCCTCCTTTGTTGTCATTTTCATAGAGAAATATGGAGCAGAGAGCAGAGGAGAAGCTACAACCAAAGCCAAAGATTTTGACCCTTAAATACTGGAATTTAAACACACCCTAAAACTCAGGCAAGGATGTTAGAAGCTCTGTTCCCAGCAGCAGCTCTCTTGTGAATAATGCAATAGCTTCCAATTAGCAAATCATAATAAAATACCTCTTTTTCAACTGAGTGCTGTCACTTGCTGTGATCATGTTTACTGAATTTTTTTGTGCTGTTTCTAAGGTTGATGGAAAAGAGCATGAGGTGTTTGGTTAATGCTTGATCTCCAGCTACTAGATTAAAAGATTCATGGCCATGTTCATGGAAATGCTCTAAATACTTTTAGAAGACGAACAGCTTTGCATATGAGGACCAGTCTGAAACTGTTTTACCTCTTCAAAAAAATCATCTTGGCATTTAATAGGTACCCTGTGATGCACCTGTGTTTGCTTACCTCAGGTCTTCGAGCAGGTCACACTCTGTCTGGTGTTTGATCTGTAATCTGCTCATCTGCTCAGCATGAATGTGTTTCAACTCCTGGGTGACCCGGACCTGAACAGGGGAACAGAATAAGGCTCATTAGAAACACCTTAAAGCTGTCTTCTTCTTCTTCTTAACCTCATACAGGTAGACCAAGGAGATTTCATCCTGCACAATCACAACAGGAGCACCTCTAGAGGGTAGATTCAGCTTAATTATGAGCTGATTCAGCTTAGCTCATAATTGGCATTACTGGAAGTGATAACCATCATTATCAAGCAGTACCTGCAACCAGGTGAGAATTAGTCTCTCTGGGTTTCTAATTGGATGTGAATCAAAAGACCAAGAGTCTCATTACTGACCACAAGGAGTGTTTTGAACTTGTCGTATAAATACATATGAAATGAACTTATTAATATCAACTGATTTGGAGGTTTTGTCTCATTATTTTGGTCAATTTTCCCCTTTTGTATTACAACTCAAAAGTGAAAATCTGTTAAAAAAACAAAACAAATCAAAAATCAAATATGATCATTTTATTTTAACATTGTATGATGTTCAAAACAATATGCCCAGCCGAAATACAAGAAAGCAACAACGAGAAACCTGAAGCAAGATCAATGGGTTAGCAACACACGTTTGCTTAAAGTCAGCGTTTTCGGAGCGCTCTTCTTACCTGGCCAGGTCACCATGACAACTGAAAGCATAACCTACTCCGTAAGAGGTTATGTTCAGAGTTTTGGTGTAAAACCTTTTTTTTTATTTTGGGGGTGGGTGTTTAGCTTACAGCATGTTCTCAGTGTGTTATAGATTCTCTGTTGCAGGACTGCATGCAACCTGTTGAGCTGTATCTTACTAACAACACATGGAGGAATGCAGTTCTGTAAAGTTGCAGCATAAAAATGTATCGCACAGTCACTGGAATCTGCATGCATCCACTTGGTTATGCAGAAAATGAATGTTTTCATGCTTGGTTCTAATCTGCTGCAGGTCTATTTTACACAGCTGGACACATTTGTGCAACATTTCTTTGCTGATTCATTACAGCTTTATTTTTTTGTGGCGTATTGTCTTAGATCCCTATCACTAGCTCCTCTGATAATGTTTGACTGATGTAGGTGGAGAAAGTTAAACCACCATTGTGACGCCAATTACTTTCGGCCAGGGGTGTCGGTTTTGTCAAACCAGATAATGCATAATAAAGCCTGGCCAGCCTACATGTGTTTTCCAAGCTTCTAAAACACAGGCAAAAACCAAAATTTTAAAATAACCACTTCATCCTCTCACCATCAGTGCACTTCTGGATATTTAGCTGACATCTTAGGAAAAATATATATGTTCTTAACTCAAAATATAGTGTGTTTCATTCCCATCCCACATAATTCACACGATCCATCACCCCGTTTTCATTTTATAACAAAAACAAATAACTGAAAATATCATAAGTAAGTTTAATAACACGATGCTTAACACATCTTGCAATTTAATTATAAAGAAATGACTTACTAAGAGCTAGTAAAAGGTGGAGAAATTAGTTAACTATTCCAGTCATCAGGCCGAAAAGCAATCAGATATTCTGATGATCTATTTTTGTTTAGTCTGCGAGCAAAGAGAGAATAAAATAAGCAATCTAATGATACAATGTATGCTTTAAGGCATTTCTGATGGATATTTTTGATTTTTTTAATGCTTTATGGACCAAAGTACCACACAAAGGTAGCGTACTGATCAATAAAGAAATCAATGTTGTGTCTTTAGTCTAAGATAATTCTTTAGATAAACTTTTAGCTAACTAAGAGTCCAAGGAACACAAGATAGAAAGCAAAGCCTCATTAGTGTCTTGTTTGTCCAAAAATGTCAAAACAATCTGCTAATAACACAATTACAAGCAGAATTAAATTTGTTTTATTATACATTTTGTGGCTGTGTGAGAATAAATCATTGTTATTAATTAATATCTTCTTACAGATATGATTCAGTATCTTTAGGTTGATCCTTGGGCGCGAAACTATTAAGTACAATAAAAGGGAGAGCAGGCAGTGCCTTTATTCCTTCATGAGCGAGTACAGAGGCCAGGAACCTCAGCTAAAATAACATAAACTAGATAAAAAGTCGTCAAAGATGCTTTACCTTAATAAACAATTTGCAAAAACATAGAAAAAATCCAAAATAATCAACACTGCTGCCACTGTAAATTATATTTTCAAGCTATCAGTATGTTAAACGGACTGCTTGTGTAACAGTTAAAAAGTTTTTCCCTAGGGCATCAGCAGGAAAAACACAGATTTTTACAATTACATCACCCTTCATGGGGGTCATGCAAAATGTCCAAACACATTAAAAAAATCTTTAAACGCTCCATAAAGCTCCAAATACAAAACAAAAATTAACCAAAACCTAACAGTTTTATATTTACAAAATGTCCTGTGGTTAAAAAAAACTGCCCTGCTGTTGAGTCTTGTTATTGAAATATGATCCCACATGAACATTTTTTCGCATAGAGGCCGACTTTGCAGAGATTTGTTTGCTTTCATGCTTATTTCTGTAATAAAACACTTAGAACTAATCTATACTTTAACACCTACTGAGCTGTTTTAAGCTTTAAATACACCCTTTTAAGCCAACTAGTGCTTTTCTTCCGTACACAGACTTTTTGTTAGAGAGAAAAAAATTCCACAAAACTCCGTACTAGTATCTGTCAACTGACTCTTCGGAGCTACAGGAATATTTGCATCACAGTTCTTAACTTGATTTGTAAGTTTTACAATAAGGTTAGTCCTCCTCTTAAAATCGGCACACATAAAAGCACAACTTGTATCTGCGTTGGATAAAATGAGGACCTTCTTCCAGCTTTTCACCCCCCCAACTCTGCTCCTCTTAACTAGCGGGTGGCAGCGGGACAGGAGGGAGCCAAAGTGGCATTTACTTGAACTTAAGCGTTGCTTAGCTGGATCAGTTTTGAGCCGATGTAAAACAAAATCTCCGTAATATTATTTATTTAAACAAAATAAACTTTTTCTAAGATGTGCGCACTTTTGCGGATGCATTTATTAATTTTAGCTGTCACTTTAGCAGGACCCTTTCTCCGTTCGAGAGGGAACGGGGCACGTTAACGGGGCTATTCTCCCTTAAAAAAGTGGCACATGGGAGTCTTTTAAAATAAGTTTTCCTCTTGTGGTGGTATTTATAGAGGTAATGAAAGCAAAATCGACATATAAGCAAACAAACAAGGACATATTTGGAGAATAAAAGGGGAGTTTCTTCATTTAAACCGGGAGAAGAGCAACAAAGCATAAATTCCCAACCATTAAATATGCACCAGTCCGTCGAAGTAACGTTAGCTCAGGGGGCTACAACGGCAAAAACTCACCTTTCTCGGCGGAGGCTGCATCCTTGTTCCTTGACATAAAAACTACGCAAAAGAAGGCGAAAGTATGTCTGAAAAAAAAAGTCTGTCCAAACGCTACGACCAAATGATAACGGAAGAAGAATATTTCAGCAGGCTCAAGCGGCCATGGCGAGTCCAGCAAGTAGTAAGTTGAGTCCCGTTGAAAACACTGTGGCCCCAGGGCGCAGAAAACACTGCAGCGAATCAAAACCTGCGCAATTAAGACACACTTCCCGACAAACTTTCGAAATAAGAGCCCGGTTCTGGGAAACATAGAGGCTACTTCCGTGCAGAATGTCGAAAATAAAAGCACGCTCGGTCGGTCAAAGTGTGGTTTTGAACAGATATTTTAAGGTTTTATGTAAGTTATTTTGTAACGAATTAACACATGCCTAACACATAAGGCGCGTTATACATGGGAACATGAGATTTTTGTATAGATAGATAGATAGATAGATAGATAGATAGATAGATAGATAGATAGATAGATAGATAGATAGATAGATAGATAGATAGATAGATAGATAGATAGATAGATAGATAGATAGTACAAATCCATTTATCTATCTAGTTATTCTGCGTGTGCTAAAAAAATCTGCAATAAATAATTCTTAAAAATAATACTACAGTTTGTACTCTAACTATTATTATACTTAATAATAGATTACAAGCATATAATATATATTTGGAAACTAGAGATGGCACGATACCACTTTTTAATGTCCGATACCGATTCCGATATCATAAATTTGGATATCTGCCGATACCGATATGAATCCGATATAGCGTATTTTGTAATCAATAAAACTGTTTTTTATAAATATCTTGCTGCATTTTGTATAAGTTCATACTCAAGTTTTAAAAAACAAGAGACTGAAGCTATTCTGTTATACCTGTATGCAAAAAATACACTCCACCCAAAACATTTTATAGTTCAGCAACACTGATCAATCTAATAAATTTAAACCTACACCATCCTCCCTATTCTGGTATTTTAAAGAGTACTTACCTACCTAACTAATAGGGTTGCCAACTCCCAGCAAAAATATTAGGGAACCACCCCCCGCCCTTAATCGATGTAATCAACTTTAATTTAATGCAAGTGTAAAACAAATGCACAGAAATCAATTATTTTTCTACAATATTTAAATAGATTCAACATCTTTCTTCAACAGAATTGCAGACTGCACAGATGGTACCTTCCCAAAGGAAAAAGTACTATAGCTTACTAGGGTGTATATTAGACTTATTAGTTACTATATACAATAATGGATTTCTATACATTTAATCAGATGACCACTTTTGTTGTAAGATTCAGATAATTATTTATTCAAAGTTTTTAAATGACATAACAAAGAAAAATATTTCTTTGTGCCCCCCTCTCCCTGTTAATGCCCTACCTGGCCCCACAAACTTTGCTAGACCCGCCCCTGCACAGTTACCAGCTGTCAGCTACTTAGAAAAGGATCCTGGTGTTATTTGTCTCTCAGAAACAGTTCATAACTTCCCTTCAACTCATTCATGTCACCTAAAAGGTAAACCTGTTTCTCCATCACCTGCTCAGCTCTGATGATTCAGTAAGGACATCTCCTGGTTTCATCTTCATGTTTCCCTCTCACCACATATCCAAACGATATCATGACCAGCAGCTTTTACAGCTGTGGCTCCAGCAAACATCAGCTGATACTAGAAAGTAATATTAAATACATTCTAACAACAGCTTATCACGCTTAAACGTGCTGCTGTTGTTTATCCACTGGTCTCCTCTTTCTAGCGCAAAGTGGGCGATAAACAAACAAGAAAGATGGGACTTGCGGCAGAAAAGCCGATCAGCTTATCATTGATCAGTTTCATGTTTGAAGTAATAACAGGAGAGGAAGGGAGAGAGAATGAGCAAGTAGATGCAACCTCGCAGCAAAGACAGAATAACTCCAGCTTTGTGTCTATTTTTTTAATTCTAGCTGAAGTACGGGACAAATCGCTTCCTTTTCACCTCAATATGGAACTCTGATGGCCAGTCCAGCTGTGGCTCAATATCTCAGTTGTTAAGCTTAACGTGGAAATACTATGCAAACATTCAGGGATGAACTTACACACTTGCTTTACTTCTGTGGGATAGTTTTCGCCAAGATGAAATTAGGAAGCATGTGGCGAGGCTCCAAATGCTCCAACAGCCTGCTGACAGGTCTGGCAGACAACAGCTCTATCACGTGACAAATACTGCTCTGATGCGCGGAGCTGGGTTATGCTAAGTAGCGCGTTTTGTGAGGTGATTTTGTGATACTTCAGATCGGATAACATTTTTTTTTTCTTTTTTCTCTCTCCGATATCCGATCCAGTAATTTAGGTCAGTATCGGATCGATACCGGATCGGTCCATCTCTAGTAGCAACAGCTGGTTTGAAGGCTCTAGAGAACTGTCTTTGTAAACTGACATTTCTTTGTAATAGCAAGGAATTAAATTTCACTTTAACTGAACTTTTCCGGTAAGGAGCTGAATTAAGGGTCAAAAAGCCAGACATTTTCCATAACGGCCTGTAAATTAGGTTTAGTATCTCTGATACTAAGAATATGGTTTAATTTAACAAGCAGCCAAAAAGCAGATTAAAAGCAGAGAAGGAAAACAGTGTTGGCTTAAGGGGGGTGTCTAATTACAAAATATTCTAAAAGAATTCACGAGGAAGATAATGTTTCCATTGTTAGTCTAATTAATTTCAAGTAAAACTTTTGATAAGCTTTAATATGCTGCAAAGATATTCGCATATCCCAAAATTTGTCTTGCAGCCAATAAAAAAAATATAAGAATGCGCTCCAAGGAGAAGAAATGGATCCACTCCCCTTTCTGATTGGTCCTCTTCACTCACGTGGCAAGCCACTGCCTCTTTGACGATGAAGATCGCGCCTGCAGGATCATAAGTGCGATTTCCTGTGAAGTTTTCAAACTAAAATCATGTTTTTATACACCACGTTTTGTAGGAGCAGCTTCAGTAATCTATGAATTTTAAAATAAGAACGAATATATAAATATATAAAAACAAATGTGGAGTAATATTTAAAAGTGATAATGTTTTAAAAAATCCACAAAAACGAAGCAAAACTTGGTATAGAAATAAAATGTGTAAGAAATAAATGTTTTAAAAGCCCTCCAGCTCCTGAGTGTGAGACATTTTTTTTTAAACATACACAATTTTGTATTTAAAATTCTTTACCAACATACTGCGCATCAGGCTGGATTATTACCATCAATGTAGACTTTAACATAATTAAAATGTATTTAAAAAATTAAATACTGTATAGGCATGGAATGCTTCACATTACAATTTATTTTAAGACAAAATGAGATGTGTTTCTTTCATTGAAACAGGTGTATGCCTAAATAAATTTGATAAATCTATTCAGTTATTTAGTAAATATTTTCTTTCTGATTTTACATTTTTCTACACAAAAAAGCTGAAAACATAAGATTTGAAAGTTTACTGATTAAATGTATCTTAACAGTGATGACCCCAGCATGTATTTCTGAGAATCGCATTTAAGCGGTCAGTTAATTAATAGATTGATCAGAACACGATTATGCCATTGTACATTTTATATTTTACATTTTTGTGTTTTGGATCACTGACTGAATCAAAAAATTACATAAAAAATATTTCAGAAGTTCTTATTAACTATCAGCAGGGGATAATTAGCTGACATAAAAGCTATATAAAGTTTGTATATTCATGTGTGCATGGGTTCATTTAAACACTGGACACAGGAAAATGTCAGCATCATGCACATTTCCTGGATTCAGTGACGTTTTCTGCTCCAGTGTGTGGATATCAGCATCAGTTTGCTGTGGAAACGCCCTCTTTAAATAGGCATCGGTTCATATTCATCTTGAATTTATTCAGTTAAATTCTATTCCTTTGGACCTCCAAAATATATCACACTTTATGCCTGTGTTGTGGAGCTAAACAATGAAGCCAACAAGAAAAAAAAACGGTCTGCTACTGTTATTTTTTGCATCCTTTGCAAAATACATCTTGTTTCTTTTGTATATGGGGTGAAATCTGGACATATATATCTACACACATACACAAATAAAAAGTACAAATCAGATTCTCCAGTTGTGGGACAGTTTGGAAGATATGAAATTAATCCGTGTGATTTTTTTAAAAGGGGGGCAAAATAAAAGTTTTCAAAGCTATTGCACTGCCCTTACTTTAAGTACAATTCAACTTCGAGCGCTTTTTATTGTTAATGGTTGCTTAGGTGGGGATTTCTGGCTTCTGAAGTGTCAGAAAAGGTGAATGCATCACTGCTTCACACACTAATCCGCTAAATGGTCCAGATTGGTTCTTTTATTTTGAAGGACGCTTAAGTGAAACCGGTCGTGCTGCGTGTTTTTGTTAGCAGCGCTGCAAGGTTAGACCGTTAGTGCTGTTGTGATGGAGGAAGAATGAAAGTTTGCTCACGCTGCTCTTGTTTTGGTTTGCATCGTGTTTCACTTTGGCTAGCCGATTAGCTTACTGAAGCCCAGCCATGTCTGCCATGTGGCGGCGGCTGCAGGTGAAGGTGGGGCCGGCTCGTGGATTACTCACCTCCACACAGGTTACACGTCGATCCACATGGCTGAACGGACATCTGTCTCTGTGTCAAAGCTTTAGCACAGGCACATCTCTACGAAATGACTTCTTCAAAGGTGGGAGTAACCAGGACGACTGTTGTGCAACTCAGCAAGCCAGCTTACATTTAAAAATACTAAAATTATCCAATGGTTTGTGTTTCTATAAATATGTGCAACTTTTAGGATCCTGCTAAACAGTTTTAATAAGCTACTAGAAGCCTGTCTGCAATTCGGTTGCATACAGTGTTTCAAATAACAACTTTTATAGTTCTTTGCACTAAACTACTAAACGATTTGGCCGAAAATTCAAAAGGAACAACCATGCATGTTAATTTGCGTTAAAGTGTTTGTAATGTATAAACTGTTTTATATGCCGTATTTGAGAGTGATAGCTAAAGTACCAGGAAGCATTTTAATTTCTTAGCTGAAGGTAAACATTTGCAAGTAACCTTGAGAGAGTGTAAAGTTTGGGGTTTTGTGGCTCAGATCTGGAGACCCATATGGAAGCTATGCGGAAGAAGGCGATGGACGCGCTTCCTGGGAGCAGCTGGACTCCTCTGGAAATCAACCCCAACCTTCCTCCAGAGAGGGCGGATATCGTGATCGTGGGAGGTGGGGTGGTGGGCTGGTCCATCGCCTACTGGCTGAAACAGAAGGAGATGGTGCGCGGAGGGGTGCGGGTCCTGGTTGTGGAAAAGGACCCAACGGTGAGGGACTGAGAGATAATGAGTGTAGACTAGCAGTGTCACTTTATTCCTTTCAAAAAATTGCATGATTTAAATCTATTCAAAGTGTCAGGAGAAAGGATCATACTGTGCTCATGAGTCATGTCCTCACTGCTGTTCAAACTAATCCTCTGCCTTTTCCTCCTCATATTCATAAACTGCTCCCCCTGACTGTTCGCAGTACTCCCAGGCCTCCACAGTGCTATCTGCTGGGGGGATCCGACAGCAGTTCTCCCTGCCGGAGAACATCCACCTCTCCCTGGCCTCTGCCGACTTCATGAGGAACATCAATGTAGGTCACTGGAAATGAACAATGAGGCTTTTAATCATTAAATGTGACAGAACATGTACTTTGTTAATATGTGAACACTTTATAGCCATGTCAGATGAGATCAAAGAGGACCTATTATACTTTTTTCTGTCATACAGTGCTGTGAAAAAATTCCCCCCCCCCTTCCTGATTTTTCCTGTATGTCTCAGATCATCAAACAAATTTTGATATTAAATACAAAATGCAGTTAAATGTTTTATTTAAAGAGTGCAAACTGTCACACCTCTGAATCCCGTCAGGAGCATCTCGGCGTGTTGAACGAAGACCCCATAGACCTGCAGTTTAACCACTCGGGATACCTCTTCCTGGCCAGTGAGGCGGTGGCTCACATCATGGAGGAGAACTACAGCACCCAAAGGTATCAGGCTCAAGAAACCAGTGCTCATACCACAGTAAAAACCCACAGTGTGTAACGTGAAGGGCCGTGAACGGTCATTTGCCATTATTAATTTTCAGAGTTGTAGTTAATTTTAAAAATGTCCTGATATATTTACATTTTGGAAAGAAACTGAACTCATAAAACAGTCATAGGGTTTATAAATTATACATTTTTCCATTTTCTGTCCTAGAGGATTTCTGTAAGGTGCTAGAATTAATCAATAAAAACACTAAGGACATTTTTCATCTTATTCTGTGATTAGTTACATATTAGTTGCTAAGTTTGTGAGTTTTTGGGATATCAGGAAGCTAAAATTTAACTCACATTTCAGGTACGCTGGAGCCAAAGTGTCTCTTCTGTCTCCGACACAACTGAAGGAGAAGTTTCCGTGGGTAAACACAGAGGGTGTGGTTCTTGCTTCATACGGTGAGTGCAAATAAAATGTGAACTGAAGGTCTGTAATGATTATCAGCAGCCACACCAGACAAGGTCAAGACATGTTAGCTTCTCATCACTGATCATGATTGACTGCAGCTGTTATTTTATTTTTTCTGGCATAAAAAGAATTTGTTTGGTAGCACTGACGATACTCAGAACAATTGGAAAGCCTATTTTTAAACAACAAGTCTAAGATCATTTCATAAGTAAGTCCAAGTTATTCAGATGTGTCACCACTTTACCAAGATCTGGAAAAACCAAACAGGCTCGAACGTGCCACGAACCAGAAACTGTTAGAACACAAACGCCACTGTCCATAGTAGAGGAAGTTTTACGCCACCGTGGACTGAAAGGGTGCTGACCAAGAAAGAAGCTCCTGCTCGAAACCGGACACCTTCAAGCTCAACTGAAATTTGAAATTCACCTTCTAGAGAAAAGTTTTATGGTCAGATAAAACAAAGGTTAGGCTATCTGGCCACATCTATGAAGGAGTAAAGGCGACGTATTCAAACCAAAGAACAATGTACCAGCTGTGAAGCACGGTGGTGGTAGCATCACTTGGGGCTGTTTTGCTGCCAGTGGTGCTGTTTTATTACACCAACCGGATGGAATAATGAAGAATTACCTCCAAATTTTTCAACTTGAACTCAAATCAACAGTTTGATGGTTGAAACTTGGACACTGTTGGATGTTCAAACAGGAAAATGATTCCAAACATACTTCACATCTGGTTTTGGGATGGATAAAGCAGGTGAACGTTAAGCTTCTGGAAATACCTTTCCAAAGATCAACCTCAACCTTATTGAACATTTGTGGACTGTGCTTAAAAGGCACATCTTTACTAGGAAACACACCAGAAACACTCCAGCCAGAAGCTTGTGATGGTTAAAGTACAACTTGCTAATGGATATTTAAACAGATATTAGTGGAGGTGCATGCATATATTTGAGCATGAATGCAGAGGTTTTGACCTGATGAAATCCAAAATAAATAAAAATCTGTGCACCCAATTCTTGTTTTTTTTAAATTTCTTAAAGGAGTGTGCTGTACATTCATCACACACTGGAAAAATAACTGTTCAAAGAAATCATTAAAAGCCCCAAATTACCATGACATTCATGCCCATGAAGAACATGTGTAAACATCTGACCACAACTGTATATTTGGCTCTGAATTTTGTTCTTATCTGTTTGTATTTAACTGAGCTGGATATCTACAGTGTGACTTTCTCTGCTGCTGTTTCGTGTTCTGCAGACTAAAGCTAAAGTGCTTTAGCTCGTGGCACCTGTAAATCCCATTAGAGTTCTTATTAACGCCTAAAGTTTTGACTTCCTCTTCTTGGACAGAATTTCCACTAATGTTGAAAACAGTCTGCAGCTCTGTCCTGGGGCAACCAGTGTAACAAATACACACCAAATATATAAGTGAAAAATAGGCGCAAAAGCATTTGTTAATCTGTGTTTGCACACCCAATTACGTCACTGGATTCCCATCCAGGCAAAAATCCCCAACACCATCATTTGGGTCACGATTTTTAAGAAATCTGCAACACTTAAGCAGAAGATTAACTGTGATATATGAGCCTATGACACACTCTCGTTTTAAGACCTTAGAAAAACTAATCTGAGTAATGCAAAGCTGCAGCCAACAGTAATTTAACTTATCAGGGCGTCTGACAGTTCTTTCCATCTGCTAATATTAGATGATAGTGGTGTGGAGTCGCCTAATTATTCTCTGACAGCCCAGTTTTAGATCCTGATTTGTCTTCTTTTGTCACAGTCGGTAAGAAACGGAAACTATTCACATCTCAGGAGCTCCAGCAGTTCTCTCAATTATTACTATTAGTTATGGCATATTATAGTACTAATAGTATTGTAATATTCGATAAGTATTATTCCCTGAAGTCTGGCATCACTTACTGATAATCAGAAAACCAGAAATGTTATATTTCAAGTGGCTAATGGTCTTTATGAAATGAATTATTTAAAAGAGAAAATGTGCCCGTTTTAGTACTTTTATCCAGTTGTTCATGATTTCCTTGTAATATTCAGTAATCGTGCGCACCATTGTGAATGTCTGTCTGATCTTCTGTCATGCAGGGCTGGAGAATGAGGGCTGGTTTGACCCATGGACTCTGCTGAACGCCTTTAAGAGGAAGGCCATCTCCATGGGAGCCATTCAGTGCTGTGGGGAAGTCACAGGTTCGTTTCATGCTGGTTTCTGCCTCTATTTTAAAACCAAACACACACACACACACACACACACACACACACACACACACACACACACACACACACACACACACACACACACACACACACACACACGTAGGAAAATATTTAGTATACACATCCAGAAATGCATACACTATTATATATTGTACATATATTTATTAGTTTCAGGTTGGCCCCCCCCCCCCCCCCCCCCCCCCCCCCCCCCCCCCCCCCCCCCCCCCCCCCCCCCCCCCCCCTTTCTTGTATTGCTCTTTGTGTTGTGTGTTGCACATCTCTGTTGCTTGTGGGGCTCGCACACAAGAATTTCACTCGCATGTGCTGTGCCAGTGTGCCTGCACATGTGATGTGACAATAAAAGTGATTTGATTTGATTTGATATTCTTGGAAATCAGGGTCATTGTGCACTCAGTTATTATAAATTTGGAAAATATAAGCAATAGCTATAATTATAATTAATAAGAATCTTCACTTTTACAGAGCTTAAATTAAACAGGGTGGAAGCACTGCCTGTGGAGCAGCTGTAAGAGTGTATTTTAGGTGTTTCTAATTTTAAAAAAAAATTAATCAGTAGTAATAATATTGTTGCCATAGGCATGTAGCTGGGGACACAACCAGTCATTTTCATTTATACTAGCAGTGTTGGGAAGGTTACTTTTAAAATGTATTCCACAATACAGAATACATGCCCCAAAATGTATTCTGTAACGTATTCCGTTACGTTACTCAATGAGAGTAACGTATTCTGAATACTTTGGATTACTTAATATATTATCATGCTTTTACAACTACGTGAATGTACTATTGCTGTGATTTATTACTATTACTGAAGGTCCGCGGCTCCGAACCGTAGTAAAGGGACCTCTGACTAATACGCAGGGTTCTGTGTCGGGCTCATAGCCAAAAAATAACTTTACTTTGTTGCGTGGGTCAACTCTGCTCTACAGAGAGAGGCGTTGAAAGGCTGCTCCAACTGAACTTATTGTTTCGGAGGAAAACACAACACAGTGTACAATTGAGTCTTAATAGCTTACTTACAACTGGGCTTGTCAGGCTGCAGTGGATATTAAGTGTGCCTATGTCAAGAGGCACACTTATTACTATTCGTCGGATTTATTATTCTCATTCTTATTATTTTCCTTTTTCCGCCTAAAATTTCGCTGTGTAACTCATGACTTTTGGTGTTCATTAATTCTATAGTTTTTTAAATATGAATATTTTAATGCAAGTTTTTGCCCATTGAAATGAATGGGAATCTTTTTCCTAAAGCTCAGTGGGTAGTTTTTAGTGCCTAAACAGAACCAGGGGGGTGACAAAGGGGGAACAAAGTGATCCCACTGGGAAGTGAAACGCTGTCTCCTTGCTTTTAAATCTGGAGCGTATTCCCCCCCTCAAAAAAATAAATAAATAAGAAAAACAAAACAAAAAACCCCTCCAGCTGCTTAGCACAGGCTTTGTAGGTCTCTAAACCAGGACGTTTATCCCTTGGTGACTGATGTTGCCACAGCTGGAGCCTCAGGGCACCAAAGGACGCCTTGTGTGTTACACAGAGATTGAGGTTGCGTTTTACAAAACTGTTATGTTACACAGGCATCTGTATAAAAAGAATTCACTCGTATCGCATATTCACACAGAGCAGACCAATAAAATCAGAGAAGGTTTTCTCTGTCTTAAGAAGAGAGGAAGTCTCTGACTCTGCTGACCTGATTTCCTCAGGCAGTTTTCTTCATGGCTTTAGAGAAATATTAATCTTACATCATTCGTTGGATGAGAGGACTGATAGAACAAGTGGAGGGACAAGATTAGGATGTAGAAATTTAAACTTTGCTTTAAAACTGTAGTTACTCACCATTTTTTGTAGTTTTAAAACATAAATAAAGTAATATGTTTATGATAGATAAGCTATGAGGCGGTAAATAAGCAATTAAAATCATCTCTATGTGCATCGTTAAAGTCATATACACATTAATGAATGATCCAACAATGTATTCTCTTTTATTCTATATAATTTAACTTTAAATGTATTTTAACGCTGTCAGCGTTAATCTCGTTAAAATGACGTTAACGCCATAAGCGCATTAATGTGGCAAATTTCCGTTAGTGAGTTAGTGCAGATCGCCCCATGCGTGGGGCTGCACGGCGCCAACGAATTAACGACATAACTGCCACTAATTTTAATGCAAAAACTTTGGTTTTGTTTGACTTTAACTTACTTTTATTGCCACGAAAACAGTTGAATTAAACTCAAATTATTTCCAGTCTCTTGAGCAGTGATGCACATGAACATTGAAATCCTGCCAAAATTTTCAACACTACAGTTACTAAGACTTGGATACTTGGATACTTTTCCCATTGGCTCCACATGCCACCCTTCTTTTAATTGATCGATTGATTGAAAAAAATGATTTTTATTGTGAAAATCTGGTGTTATTTGGCAGCCCTGAAATAATTTAGCTGATTTTTAAAAAAAAAGAAAAACATATCTCAGAAAACAACAACTAGTTGTTTGGCAACACCGGGCTTCCGTACATGAGTATTTCAGTTCCTACATTCGCCTAAATAGCGAAAGGTTGGATCCCAATAGGAGACAAAAGTTCCCCGTGTTTTGTCTCAGGAAGGGCGTGAAAATCTGCCAAATCAAATATCTGCTGTGGTGACCTGTTGTGAATAAGGGAGCAGCTGAAAGTAACTTCTTCTTCTTCTTTTTCTTTGTGTTGAAAATTGGTTTTAATGTGTTTCTCACACAGAATTTAAATATACGACAAGCGTGATAATGACGACTGATGGAGAAAAGCTGGATCTGAGGAGAATAAAGTCAGTCAAAGTAAGTGGGACTGCAAGTGCTGAATGTCTGTGAGATTAGCGAAGCGTATAAAGCTGTTTATTTATTATTCTGTGTGATCGCTAACATGTTAGAGAAGTCTCTGACTTGTACCTCCCTCGGTTTGGTTCACTTATGTTAATGTTTACTAAGCTTTAGAGGGGAATTCTCAGTTGCTGTGACACTTGTGCAGTGCAGTGTCTTCAACTGCTCAAGTAAAACTTTATTGTATCATTAAATATACTAAAATTATTGCGTACAAAAGCTCTGCTGATTCTCAATGAATGTGTGAAGTCTGAATAACAACAGATGGATGGCATGTTCTTCAAATCCCTTCAGACCATATATCAACTGCAATTTCTTCCCAGGTGACCTCGTCCTGTTTAATGTGTCCCACACCGCCTGATTACTGGCACTAAGTACCTCATAAATTTGTCTTGTGGTGCTTTTAATACCTTTTTTTTTTTAAGAGCACTAAATCCAGGAGGGATTGTGGAGTGCAGGCAGGAAGGAGTCAGAAAAGGAAGCCATAAAACTTGTGAGCTGCATTACGTCGTTAGAAATGTGTCTTAGGACGACTAAACTGTCTGACATCTGTCCAGATGAGGCAATATTACCATCAGCATAGAGATCCTTCACTGCACAATATATTACCAAAGGATTATTATAATCTGTAGACTAATCAGTCATTAACCAACGTTTCCTGCATGTTCACTGAAGAAACCTGGAAACATATTTCCCAGAGGTCATCAAGTAGCTCTCTGCAGTTTTCTGTTACCTCGGGTGAAGGTCTTGCTCTTCCCTTAAACAATACTGCTTTGCAACAATCAGCCATTTTAAAAACGCTTCACAGCTATTGCTATTGGTGTCCTCTTGAGCAGCTGAAACAGTGCTGTCCTTTCTGGGATATTATTTTAAATAATTAGTACGGTTGTATGTTGTTTATGGAATTTTGATCTCAATTTGACAAATATTGTGTGCTAAAAAAGGATTTCTTTAACCGGCCAACCTTCACATTAGAATTATTTTGATCTGTGAAATATGCTGAGCTACTCTGCTAAGAGTCCAAGAATGAAAATATGGAATTCAAGCTCCAGCTGACTGATTGGCACGAAATACTTCTGTTAAAACTGTGCACTGAATCAGAAAAAGCACAAACGTGCATGATGGGTAGAGGAGGTAAAAGTACATAATTCTGTACTTGTCTCTCCCTGTGAAATACGGCAGCTGGACCTTTAGCTAGCAACTTGAAGCAACATGTTAGATCTTTATGCGCGCTTGTTTTGTGTGTGGCTAGCGAGATGCTGAAGTACAGCGACTTATGGACACCTGCAGTCATGCCGGTGTTGTGCCAAAAAAATAAATAAATAAAAACACCGGCCCATTTTAACCTCTTTAACTATGCCACACAGTTTTCCCCCCCTCTTTCATCTCTTTTTATGCCACATCTCCTGGTGATTAATACACGAGCAGGGCTGCCTTTCATGTGTTCCTGCTCAGACTCAAATCGGTTTGATGTTTGAAGGCTCACAGTGCCGTGAAAAAATAACTCCTCTCAAGTACGTCAAACCAAAATTAATGGGCCTGTTTTGAAAATGTAAAAGTAAAAAGTTTGTACTTCTTTTTTTTTTCCCACCTCTGATGATGGGATGTCTGCTTGTGTCGAGCAGGTGCAGATGCCAAACAGCCTGGAGTACCAGCCAGTGGAGTGCGCTATTGTGGTGAATGCAGCAGGAGCCTTTTCTGGTAAACTGACCGAGATGCTGGGAATTGGCTTTGGCCCCAAGCAGTCCATCGCTGGAATCCCACTGCCTGTTGAGCCACGGAAAAGGTAGGCTATTGACTCGAGGGGCTGCTAGAGTTTTCTTTGAAAGGCAGCGCCTCATACAGCGAACCGCATCAATACCAGACAGCTTTTTTCAGACTCTGCACCCCGAAAATTGAAAAACCAACTTCATGCCACTGCCTGTCAGTGTCTACCATCTGCAGTCTTTTCATTTTACTCTTGCTCTGCATCATTTAGACTACAGATAAAAATGAATCTAAGTAGGATACAAGCGAGTCAGTCACATAACTTTAGTCGGCATGAACTGGACTGTTTGAGTATGTTTGAGTATGTATGCCATCAGACTCAAGCATTCTGTGTAAATGGTGGCTTTAGATTTAGGTAGAGTCATTGCACCCCTACTGCCAGTCCCAAACTTGGATAAATGGGTGTGTTTAATACGAAAGGACATTCACCATTAAATCAAAAAATGAGATTTCCATACCAAATCAGTCTGAGCTCGGCTTGACAAAGACCACCTCCATTGGCTTTGGCTAACAGAGTGCTGATGGAAACTGTGCTACTGTTAGCTGAGAACAAAGGATGCTCGGGATAGGGTGAGATGTAGGGAGATGATTTGCTGTGTTGAATCTTAAAGGGAGCAGTCGAAAGAAAAAAAAAATGTAAAGAGGGAAAGTTCGGATACTTTATAATACAGCCTGCACCCCTGATACTGCTGTACAATTATAATGTAAGGAGACGTTAGGTTTCTCTATAATTGTAAATATACAACACAGTGCAGACCGTATTATAAAAAAGCCTACCTACCTCATTTATACATTGCAATCTAAAAAAAAAAAGGAGGTTAGGCTAGTCTATAATATAACGTGTATCCTTAATAATATTGTGTAATTACAACTTAAGAAGGAAAGGTTAGTATAGTCTATAATATAGCCCAGCCCACACCCTTAAAAATTCGATGTCATTAAAACAAGAGACGGATTTTTTTGATACTTTTTTCTTCTATTTCTTCTAAAACTCCCAAATGTTGCTTCCTTGCTTTCCTGCACCCACATTTTAAGTAATCATTGGGGCATGGTATTTTTAGGTATTGAAGGTTACCTGGCATGAATTCAGAAAAGCCACATGTTAAATTAAACTTTCACCTTAAGCTGTGGGCTGTGTTTTGAAAAGCTACCCATTTTTCTGCCTTATTTAAACCTCCACTAAATCTTTCCTCGTGCCGCCTTGAACGGCTGTCAAACCATCACATAAACATTTTATAAGACAGAGTTTTGAGCTCTCTGGATAATTCTTTGTAGACACGCAGTCCACGCAGAACAGAGTAAATGTCTGATCACGTTCATGCCAGAGAAACCTCACTTACATCTTGGCATGAAATGAAATATCAGCTGATATAATGTCATACTGGATGTACGACTCTGAGCTGTTTACTTCGTCACTGTTTTTCAGGTATGTGTATGTGGTCCGCTGTCCTGATGGTCCCGGTCTAGACACTCCTTTCTTAATCGATTACTCAGGAGTTTACGTCAGGAGAGAGGGGTTAGGTGGGAACTACATCACCGGGGCCTCGCCAGAGGAGGTTGGTTTTTATCTCTGAGTTGTTTCTCCAAAAGTTGATTCTGTTCATCTGGACGTAGCGTTTTGTGGGAGAAACATTTCGTCACTCATCCAAGTGACTTCTTCAGTCTCAGCTGACTGCAGGTTTTCCCAATCTTATAAACTAATGACTGAAACCAGCCCACTGAAGGAACAATGGGCTGGGAGGTCAGTTACTTAATCGTAATTATGCAAATTCTCATGACCATTGATCAACAACCACTGACCAAAACCCACTGATCAATGGCCATGAGTACCATTCACAGAGAGTTGGGGAATGGCTGCAATCACAGCGTTGTAAGATGGCGACAGATGTACCCTTAGGCCCCCTCCTCGATTCAGAGATGGTCTTTCCCTTTTCACGTAAATGGCCTCCTTGACTCCGCGCTCACACCAGCGTTCCTCCCTGGAGGAACTCAAACGCTACATCCAGATGAACAGAATCAACTTTTGGAGATTTACTTTCCTGGATGATTGAGAATGCATCAAGACGTCTGAGCTGTTTCCTTATGTTAACATTCAACAGCTGAGCAAATCATGTCGTTGTTTGCACTGGTTGTGTGTCCTCAGGCGGCAGAGCCAGACGCCAGTAATCTAGAGGTGGACCACAGTTTCTTTGAGGAGAATGTCTGGCCTCATTTGGCCTTTCGAGTTCCTGCTTTCGAGAAACTTAAGGTACAGTTGGGAAAGTGTGGTCACCCACGTCATGATTACTTCCAGCATTACAGCATTATTATCAGCCAGAACTGGTTTTATTTTGAAGCTTGCAGATTAATTTTATTGTATCCATATTTTAAGTGAATTAAATTTAAAAACTTGGTACAGAAATGGGCTTTTCCAAAACAAAAACAATGATTATGATCTCTCTTTATCACTTAGAATAACATCATTTGTCCTCACATTCTTCCCCTCAGGTGACCAGTGCCTGGGCAGGTTTCTATGACTACAACACCTTTGACCAGAACGCCATCATCGGTACGCACCCCTTGATCAACAACATGTACTTCGCCACGGGCTTCAGCGGCCATGGCCTGCAGCACTCGCCTGCAGTGGGTCGCGCTGTGGCGGAGCTGATTCTGGACGGAAACTATAAAACACTGGACCTGAGCGGCTTCAGTTTCAACCGGATTCTGACGCAGGAACCAAAGCTGGAGAGGAACATCGTGTAGCTGAGCCGAACCCTGATATCATATCTTTTACATCCTGCCAAAGCCAAATTATTATAACCTAAGTCTTATTTTTGTAGCTGCAAACATAACTTTAATGACACAAATTGATTTATAAGATCTGGGTGGTATAATTTCTACAATCCAGATAAGCAAAAGCAAAACCTCAGTGATTTAAGAAAAGGCCCGAATACGGCACATTTCCAACCTTCAGGAGCTGCGGGAATAATGTCTCCTGACCATTTGGGACTGCAAAGAGGTCAGAGTGGACAGATGTCTCAGGTTATTATTAGACATCCTGCCAGGTAGTGACAAAATAATGAAAGGACCTTTTAAAAGATTCGTCTTTAAAGATTTTAACACAGTTCTCACAACAGCAGGTTCAGAGAACATTTATTTGGTTCTTTAAATAAGATTTTTCATAGTGTGATCTCTCTGATGTGTCACTGAAAGACATAAATGAGTCTCGTATCTTAAAGGTATTTATATGTTGCTTTTTCTGATGTGTAGCTGACGTGTGATTTAGTTATTAAAATTAAATTATTTGACTGTCACAGCCTCAGATCTTCACTACACAATTATCACAGCCAAATGGTGATGATAGCTGATATTGTTAATCAATTTTACAACTTTCTGTTGTAGTTTATAATCTGATAATAAGGAAAAAATGTATGTATTAGTGATCCCACTTTTTCAATTTTAAAAATTACAACAACAAAAAACAAATAAATTAGGGTATTAATGGATGTTACCAAAAATAATGAGTCAGTATGCCCTAAATTTTACTTTTTCACCCTGGATTTTGATACATTTCTTTATTATATTTAAAGATTTTGAATTTTTTCCAATTCTCAGGCACACAAATTTTCAGAAAACACTATTTAAGATCTTAAAGACATTAAACACAAAAAAGGCAAACAGTAAAACTGTTGCTCAGACTATGTTATAAACCATAATAGTAAAAGTGTCATATTTAATATAACAACCCTGGAAATGACTTCCTACAAGATTTTGTTTCAGAATCAGAGCACCTACTCTGCTTGGGGTCTTTTATTTTGAAACTGACTGGCTCCTCTGTGCATTTCAATTTGGTAAACTATCAAGCGTTGAATTGAGTGGGCACCGTCAGCCGGTCACGTGGCCACGCCCCGCTTATTGCTGTGATGAGACCAAAGGTGTGGTGAACTGAATTATCCTTTAATTTGGACTTTTTCCGTGCATATAGAACATGTTTTAAATCAAGAGTTTAATTCTTTTAAATGATCATTTGATTTCATTTAATAATGAACCTTACTGGCAGCACCAGTATCTTTTATTAGTCTGATTTCAGAGGCAATAATGTTGCTTTCTAAAGAAATCAGCAGGAGGAACCACTGAGAATAAAGTGGAACTAAGAGATGCTTCTTCATTAGAAGACAAAAAATATGCATGGAGGTGAGCCAGCAGCTGACTCACTCCTGATACAGAATAACAGGAATAACTTCTGCTTTCCAGATTTCCAGATTTCCACTGAACTCGGCTGTTTGGTACCGTTACGCAGTCGGAACGTGCAAATTTAGAGTGAAACATCATCAGATGCATATGTGCTGTCCCATGCAACGGTTTAACTGTGGTACTTTTAACAGCTTTGTATACTTTTTGTGTATTTTTCTAATTTGATCAATATACTGTAATTGTGTTGTATTGATCAGTGTAATTACATTTTTATCAGTAAGACAATTTTTCAAGAAAAACGTGGAGTTGTTGCCTGACTTCCTGTTTCCTTCATTTGTTGCCGCTGCTCCTCTTTTAAATCTCCAGAAGGAATAGGCATAAAAAAGGTGCAGTGACTCATTTAAGTTTAGAAAGAAGAAAAGCTAATTTTCCAAATAACTAATTAGTGACAGGATCATCGGATTATCCTGTGTAAGCTGAACTTTGCAGTTTCCATGTCTTAAAAAACATCATTAAAAAAATGTCTTTGACGATCATCTGCTTACTGAAAGTGAAAAACTATATCTGTCATACACTTAAATGTGTAAACATATATAAGGTGGTGTTATCTGCTTTCTCTCAGTATGATTTACTGTCAGAATGTTTACTCTGTATTGAATTTGTGTGATTAAAGGAGGCACAGCAGGTGGTCAGTACGATCATAAATATACAGATACTGAACCTTTTCAAAATAAGACCTTATATGTAGACACTCTCAAAGCATTTCATTTCTTAAAAACATCCGCCTTACTTTCTTATCGAGCACTGCAAACAAAACAATAGTCTTTTATGTAGGAGTTCCTGGTGTTTTACACAAAACATGCAGCAGATGGAGCCATTTCAGTGGGTAATTTTAAGCTTGGAGGGTCATCGCTTCTGACATGTTTCATGCAAACTCTGTATAGATTTAGAACCCAGAGCTAGGTGATTAATTCAAGTCAGTACCACAGCTGCCACTTGTATATTTTGCCTGTGATTATCATGCGAGTTAATATTTCTTCGGGGCACACATGTAGGCAGCAGGAGCTGCGGTCTGGATGCTAGATCGGAGTCTGAACGTTTCAAAACAGACTTTTCATTTTTCATACCAAGACTGGATCTGTTTATTCTAAATATATTCAAAAATTAACCTTTCAAACTGGAAAATGTCACACTGGTGTGGATGATAAAAAAAAAAAGAATACTGCTGTAAGGTCAGGGGAAAGAATTAACTGGCTACAATAATGCTTTTTAGGAAGAAGGATGTACACCACAGTGATGAGGTGCATAAGAAGGGGAAAAGGCGAAAACTGGCCCTAGTAGGTCTAAGGGACAACCCCCACTACCTTGAACTCTTTATCTTGTGGTTTTAGAACTGAAGAAACTGAAGATGAGGTGAACCATTTGTTGTTTTCAATTAGTGGTAGAGATAGTGATAGAGAAATCACTTACGTAAATACAATAATGGTAAATGGCCTGTATTTGTATAGCGCTTTACTAGTCCCTAAGGACCTCAAAGCGCTTTACAGATTCAGTCATCCACCTATTCACACACACATTCACACACTGGTGATGGCAAGCTACATTGTAGCCACAGCTGCTCCGGGGTGGCTGTGGCTACAATGTAGCTTGCCATCACGTAAAACATGTAAAATGTATTTTTTGGTGTGTCATAAAAATGATACAATATCTTTCCCCATTGGACCATGTTGTGAATTTGATCAAAAGTGACACTAAATATTAAGAAACGTGCTGGTGAAGGGCCCTGATTGACTTCAGGGCTCCGTGCAAGTACCCACTGTTCCCACATAGTAGTCCATCTATAATTTTTAAATTACAGAAAACTCTACAAGTTTAGGTTAATTTATCACACCTAAGACAGGCACCAGATCGTTCAGGATGGCACAGCTGTTCCCTCTTTAAAAACAGTGAAGAGGACTGCCAGGTGCTGCAGAAGAAGTACGAGCAGCACACAGCGACAAGTTTGGGACTAATTGCACCTGCAAGTGTTGCCTTCCATCGCTGAAAAACAATTTTGCATTATTTGTGGTTTCGCCTTGCAACTTCAGAGGAGTTTATGAACCATCCTGCTCCCCACAGACCAGACACCTCCACATCCTCCACATCTCAGCTTCCTGCCGCTCAATGCAGCAAACCAGCAAAGAATGAATCATTTTGCACGGCAGAGTCAGTCACCGGCAAAACCCCACCAACAGGTTCCTTCACTGCCTCTGAGGTAAGTATGAAAGCAGAGCTACGACAAAAGCCCCTCTGCCAAAGTTACCGGAAAGCAATTCATAAACTGCCTTGAAAGTGGATCATGTTTTCATCACAGAGATGGTAATGAGTGAGCTGTCGGGCTGAACTTAACCCCCTCCGTCATCAAATCAGCTCAGGGTACACACGATTAAAACCATTGGGGTTTATTTTACAGTTAAGGGATGTTGAGAAAGCTGCTCATTAAATCTGTCATAATTTATGTGGAAAGCCAAAGCAGACACAGAACCCAGTATAAATAAATTAAATGGTTTATTTGGATTGTCTGTGCTCCTTTCCATTCTGATTGGTCTGGTCTGTCTTGTTTTGGTTCCTTTCAACTGAATTAAATTCAATTTTATGTTATTTATTTCGTGCCAAATCACAATACCAGTCACCCCAAGGCACTTTATATTTTAAGCTAAAGACCCAACAATAATACAGAGAAAAGAGAGAAAAAACCTCAACAATTAGATGACCCCCTATGAGCAAACACTTTGGTGACAGTGGGAAGGAAAAGCTCCCTTTTAACAGGAAGAAACCTCCAGCTGATCCACGCTCAAGGAGAGGCAGCTATCTACAATGTGACCATCAACACTCCTAGGCTCCAACCTTCGCTAGCTCGCTGTGCACCCAACCCCAGTGCCTGTCCTGGAGGGTGGTGAACAGGGTCCACAGCTCCATCCAGACCTGGCCATTAGACACTGCCTTAAATGCTCTCCTCCTAGTTCTGGCTCCAAGAGGAGACCGCGGTTTCCCACTTCCAAGCAATGTTGTCCCGCACTTGGATGTGTCCAGGTTTTCCAGGCAAATCCGAGTAGGAGGACGCCCCAGGGTAGGGCCTAAACCTGCTGGAGAGATTATATATATCTCAGGATCTCCATGGAGGAACTGCAAAGTGTTGTTTTCCTCCTTAGCCTGTGGCAGTTGAAGGCCACAAGGCTGAAACCTTTGCATTGAAAAAATAAGTGTCACGTCTTTTCTTTGAATTTTGTGTCTTTTTGCTGCTTCCTTACCTTTGAACTCGTCATCATTGGATTTACATGATTTGCACAGGTGGGCATACTGGGAACGAACTTTTGTGTTTTTGACCTCGGCCTGGATAAGCGATTTGGATTGAACTCTTTCTGCTTCCTCTTTCCCCCTCTTCACGCAAAGATCCACTTTGTATCACATTTAGAGTGAAAAATGGTGTAAAAATAAAAATAAAACAATAAAAATAAAGTATTTTCTCTGAACAGTTGTAGTTGACGTGCTCTGACTTTGTTGGTCACAGCAGTTTCTTGGAGTCCTGCTGGGAGAATGTGATGATTGTTAATGGTCTGCACTTATATATCACCTTTTAACCTCAGCTTGCTTCATAGTGTTTCACATTCACACAGTTCTCCTTTTGTATGAATCAACGTTCATTAGTGAGATGTGGAGGACTAAACCAGGGTGTGCTCCTCTTGCCGTTTCCATTCTTTTTGCACAGCTAACTCAGTCAAGGGTCGTATTTCCCTCATATCGAGCATACAGACATGCTTTTTCTAACTCTTGGCAAGAAACTTAATGAGCTTATTTCCCCAAATGCTGAACTTTCCCTTCAATGAACCTGCAGAGTGTGATGTGCAGATGTGTTCTGCCAGCACGTTTAGAAATGCACAGCGCCTGGAGCTAAACACACTTGGGTGTGAGATGACTTTCTTTAAATTACGCTGCTACAGGAGCCTGTAAGATTCTATCTGAATTGCAGACCCTCTGCATCCACTTCCTTCTCCCTTTACTTACATGCAGCTGTGGCATTTATATTCATCACTGCTGGGGTTGGGGTGGGCTTATCAATTCAGCATCACAGATCATGGTAATCTGCTCCACAGATATGAAAATGGTCCTCCTGCAGCCAGCAGAATATTGCAGACACTCTTGCCCTGCAGCTCTTCATTCTGATGTAAATGGGAGGCAGCCTTGCAGGTTCAAAGAGGGGGAGGGGAACCAGGGGAAATGCAACTGAGGGAATTCTTTGTGAGGCCTGACGTAAATCTCAAATGTTCTCAGGGCTGAAAACAAAACAGCATGAGTGCTTGCACCGGTCACTGAGGCCTCTTCAATAGACGCACCTTCAGCCACACAAAGGCGTCGAGGCCTTTTACACCAAACTTCCCGAACATTCCCCCCTCCTCGTGCTGGTCCCCAAATCTACACTGTCAAAAGCTGCTGCAGCCGAGGCGAGCCCACTCCCGATGAAGCCCGAGGTTGTGTTATTAAACTTTTTTGATGGGTTGAAGAAGAGAGTCCTTCTGTCGGTCTCAGAGGACTGACGGCCACTGGGAGCTCCCTGGCTGGCTCTTCTGAGTGTATGGAGCCAGTGTACATGGTGGCATGTGGCTGGGATTAGGAAATTTCACTGTGGATTAAAATCTTTCCAACGCCTCCATGGCCTCTTGCTGAAAGAAAGGAGTCTGAAGGTCCTGCAGAGATCCAGTGAGCACTTTGGGCCCATGGTCTCACGGAGCAGGTATGTCCCAACAAAACTTTTCTATTTTTCTACAAAACTGAAGATCTAAAGCTTTACTTATTTCACATACACATATATATATATATATATTATCCATAGTGTTTTTAGGGTGACTGTAGCTGCTTGGAAGAAAATTACCTCCGTTTTCAGTCATTCACCTCCATGAATGACTGAAAAAAAACCAGTTGTTAAAACGGTTAAATGTTGAACAAATAGCTCTTAAGATACAACCTGTGGTTATTTTCAATCTGGGGTAAACTTCAGTCCAAAAATTTGTAACTTTTAAAGTTTTGGGTCCTTTTTGCCATCTATTCAGTACGTCTTATGCAACACTCAAAGTGGACCACGCGGTACACGCTGCACGGTACATACTCTGCTATTTAACGACCATTCAGATCAGTTAATAAGTACAATGTATTTGTGCATACATAGGTTGTATATTATCTTGTTATACTTCTATTCTAATGATAAAAAAGGAAATTCTCTACCTGTTATACCCTCGATCTCTGAATTTTAGTCCCCTTTTCTGTCTTGTTCTGACATTTGTTTACTGGTTAAGGCTGTATGGTCAAGGTTGAACGAGCCTGGTGCAGGTTTTACATGTTTTATAAGAAGACCAGAACAATGCATCTGTGAGTGGTCTTTTTTTCTACTGAAGAATACATTGGGGGGGCAAAATGTAATTTACAGTGCAAGAAATGAGTCTGGGTCACCTTACTTGACAGGAATCTATACATTTTCTTTTTACAATTTTTTTTAAAAATATACTATAATATCTCATATTTGAGTACATAAAACCTTAATTAACAAAACTGGCTAAAACTGTATGATCATATTGCTCATATATTTCTGCTTAAAACCTGTTTTTTTATTGCTCTATTTGTAAATCTTCATAAACAAAACTAAAATCCATCAGATGCATTACACTTTTATTTTTTTAAAAAAGGTTCAGTAGTTTGCTGTGCATCATAGTTTTTTTTAAACAGGTAAAGGTGTAAATGTGGATTTGTGGAGGGGCTATTCTCAGTTCCAAATTCCTGTAATTAGTATTTACAGCAGCAGGGCATGTGTATGTGTGATTAAATCTAAATTAAATGTAGTGTGTGTGTTTGTGGTAATAAACTGAGTGGTTAATTGATGTTTCTAATAGATTTATAATGATAATGGAGCTCCGTGTCACACGGGAATGAGCAACAGGCCAGCGCAGAAAATACTTGTTAATCAAAATCGAATCATTATTTGTTTTAGTCTTTAAATTAGATTTTCTTGGTAGTTAGACATGCATGGAAACACAGATCACTAGTGTAACACACTGACTTTTGCCCTGTTTGTCTATGTGGACATTAAATCTGTCAAATGTTTTTTTTAATATTATCTGTGTAAGGTCTCAGCTAACTTTCTCCTCATTCTAACGATAACGTTAAACGATAGTACACTCAGTTTCTGTCCCAGCGGAACAGTGAACGTGAATCTACTCTCTTGGTCTAATTATTTTACCTTAAAGTAACTGTGTGTACCTTTTAGTACAGTACAATTTCTTCTAGATTTTAGGTGCAATATCAGGAAAGAGTCTTTGTTTGGTCAAATACAAAACATTTAATGCTTAGATTTTAAGATTTTACACTCTGACAAGTTTCATTCTGTATCTGCTTTGTAGTTGTGGGAGCTTTGAGCCATGAGTAAGATGAAAAAAAAGCATATTATAAAATAAGGGGCAGCATGTACCTAATTTTGCAAATTTTTAAACTAGTTCATTTAAATACAAGTCTGACCTTTTAAGGTACAAAAGACAATACTAAAAACAAGCCCTGACAAACGTAAAACAAAGGTAATAAAAGTAGAATTATCAAACAGTAGAATAAAGGTACTAAAGGTGGAATTATCTGAAAGAAGACTAAAGGTACTAAAGGTCATAGCGGTAATAAAGGTAGAAATATGTAAACTGAGAGGGTTTTTTTTTCTGAATGTGTAGGTGTTGCATGTGTGATTTTGCAAGCATTAACTTCCCTAGAGGAGAGTTTGTACTCTCTAATACTTAACTGTATTTGTTCCTCCAGCTCCAGGATGTTCCAGCTGCTCCAGGGTCACAACCAGCCAGCTGGACAACGAAACCACAGAACCCGCCTGGTCACCAAAGACGGGCACTGCAACATTGAGTTCGGGAACATCGAGTACAGTAACCAGTTTGCGTACCTGGTAGACTTCTGGACCACCTTTGTGGAGATTCGCTGGCGGTTTGTTCTCCTTTTGTTTGTGGCTGTGTTCACAGGCAGCTGGTTCATTTTCAGCCTGTTGTGGTACTGGATTGCAAAGAGCAACGGGGATCTCGCTGGACAGAACCGCACTGAAGGACACATCCAGTGTATAGACAACGTTAACGGGCTCACAACGGCATTCCTGTACTCGTTAGAGACCCAGACCACCATTGGGTATGGAGGCAGGGCACTGACTGGCCACTGTGCTGGCACGGTGGCTCTAATTGTCATCCAGTCTCTAGTTGGGGTTTTTATCAACTGCTTCATGTGTGGTATCATCCTAGCTAAAATCTCCTTACCAAAGAAAAGGGCAAAGACTGTGACCTTCAGCCACACAGCTGTCATCTGCTTGAAGAAAGGAAGTCTGTGTCTCCTGATCAGAGTGGCCAACCTTCGAAAGACCTTACTAATCGGAAGCCAGATCTATGGGAAGTTGCTGAGGACAACGACCACACCGGATGGCGAGACCATCATCCTGGACCAGGTGGATATTGACTTCATGGTTGATGCTGGCAAGGATAACTTGTTTTTTGTTTGCCCCTTGACCCTGTACCATGTGATTAACAGATCGAGTCCTTTCTTTGATTTGTCGGCTGACACCCTTCCTCAGCAGGACTTTGAATTGGTGGTCTTTTTGGATGGGACAGCCGAGTCCACCAGCTCCTCCTGTCAGGTCCGAACTTCCTACATCCCACAGGAGATCCAGTGGGGATACAGCTTTCTGCCGATTATCTCCCGCACCAAGACAGGAAAGTACCATGTGGATTTTTCTAACTTTTCCAAGAGCGTCCGGGTCACCACTCCACACTGCGTCCACTGCTTTGAGGCCGACGTAGACCAGAGAAACCACAATAACCACAGCCAAGAAAATCACAATAACCAGCTAAAGAGGGGGATTGATAACCCGGGCTTTCAGGTGATTGACATACATGACTCTGTGGATGTCACTACAATGTGAGCTGGTAGAAAAGGAGCCTACGCTTTCATTGAAACTGTGAATCAGAATGTGGGAAGTAAAGTGGTAAAAGCTGGCGCCTATCACTTCCTTTGAACCAGTTTCACTCTAAGTCAGACTGCACCGGCGAATAAATATTTGGTCACGGTGAACTATTCAGCATCTGAATTGTTGTCAGCTCTTTTTCCTTAAACAGAACGAACATCCACAGCTGTTAAACTGTTTGAAAAAAAATCAGACAGAGTGGGAGTTGCTCATTGAAATCAAACCTCTGTTGGGACTTTGAATAGGTAACGTCAGAAAGATGGATTGTAGCTCTGACGCACAGAAAATGAAAGGGGGTAAAAGAGCAGATGCACAGTGGGTACTTCTTGAGAAGATTAGGACCTGAGCCTGTTATAATGAAAAGTGTGTGCCTTAAAGGCTGCAGGAGGAAATAAAAGGTAGTGCCTTTTGAGTTTGCATATTATTTCTATTACAACACTAACTTTGTGGTGTTTTTTGTCATTTTGACAGATCCTGTATGCCTGAATAATTAGGAAACTGGGATTTTAACTGTGACCAGTCTACATTTTGTAGATCATCCTGTGTAACGCTGTACGCTAACTTCTCAGGGAAAGTAACATCCTTAGTTGGAATAAAAGCTTTTTCACAATTCACTGACTTACATTTGATTTTATTGCACAATTTGTACTTTACACATTGAATATTTCATCAGAGTGTGCTATAAACAGAACTGAAATATACCACAAAGATGTAGATAATATAACTTCAAATTGACTGATTTATGCGAAATGGGTGTATCATGTAGTAGATGCATTGTGCAGTACTGTGCATGCAGAGATAGGACAACCCTTAGTAGTTTGGGAGCTGGTGATCGGACTCCCAGGACCTTTGCCCCTGAGTGCCACCCCAATCCACAGTTGAAGGAGGCCTTATACCCTCCTATGAGTGACGGGTCCACAGGAGAAGCAAGCTAACGTAGTTCTGGTACCCGACTGGGGCGTCTCCCATGTGAGGTCTTTCATATAGCCAGGAGGAGGCCCCCTGGGCAGACCCAGGACATGCTGGAAAGGTCTTGGCTGGCTCTGGAACACCTCAGTGTCCCCCGAGAAGAGTGTCGACTGCCTCCCCCTTCACAACCCAGACCCATGTAAGTGCCAGAAACTGGATGGATATAGGATGTCTATCATTTGCTGACGAAAAATTAAAGCTTTTTTGTATTGCAACAGCTTTTGATAGTCATTCTGCATTAGTATTAGTATTAGTATAGTATTAGCTTGAGTATAAAGGATTATTTCCCAGATTTCATGAAACATAAATGAAATGTAAAACATAAGAGGCAATGAGGACTCATCCTGATGACTCTGTATAAGATGTTCGTCACATAGTCATGTTCTCCTAAATTGATGTCTGTTTTCAACAATACATAAAGATGCCAAAAAAGCTGAGACAGCTGGCCGAACCACCAAAGAAGATCAGACCACGGCTAGGATCAGTGCCATCTTACATTACAAAGAATTCATTCAGCAATAAAGACGGTTTTTTGTTGTTTTTTTCTCTCCCAACTGTCCCAGTTCTGCCAGCAGTCTCTCATATTCTCAGGGATGTTTGAAAAGGTTCATACAACAAACTTTTGATGTTCACACTTTTCCCCAATGCCCCACAGTGTACTGATGGCAGAAGACAGAACCGACAAAACAACATCTGATAACATTCATCCACCGTTTCGGGGTGGATTGATGGACCTTGTTATGGCAGCACCGCGTCTCTGCAGGTGTTCCAACAGCAAGGCAGGCTGTTCATTTAAGACCGGCATTCGACATTTTTGTCAGTGAGGAAGTGACAGACTTCTGAAATGGCTTTCATCCCATTTGGATTTACAGAGGCAAGTTTACTGGGCTTCATCTGCATAACAATGAGCAGAACTGCTGAAAGAGATCGGCACAGTGAGTCTGAAGCAGCTGAATAGAAAAAATTAAGTAGACAGAGATGAGAGAGCTGAGTGGAAGGTGCAGAAGCTTTTGTTAATCTGGTAGAGGCCTGATTCGTTTATAACGACGCACTTTATCCCCCAGTGCCATGGAGATGGAATAATTACACAAAAGCACTGCTTTCCTTGGTTACTGTTGCTATGTTTGTCTAGTTTTTATTTAGAGGATGTTGTTTTAAAGTTCTGGTCACAGAACTTTGAAGTTCTAGAACTTCTGAGACCTACATAAGGCTTTAAGACCAGACCTGGGTATTGTACAGCTACATCCTGCCCTTTGGTTGTCCCTGACACTGAATCTGACTTTAATGCACTTGTTCAAGGCCAAATAGGCTACATTTCTCTAACCGAACAAGAAAAAAAGAAGTGAAGACCTGCAGAAGCAATTAAACTACAGACAAAATAGTAACAGCACTTGTATAAAGTTAAAAGTCTATTAAAATTTGCAAAACGTGGACAATTTTTTTGCAATTGTTGATTAAATAGTGATAAAATTTTGGCATTTTTAACAATAGCTGTTTCACATTTTCATCATTGCCTAATTGTAACATTTATTCTTACCAGTCTCATCTCATTGGCGCCGTCCTCCACAACAGTCTCAGTTCCTACAAGCTTAGGAAGTCATGCAAAGACATTCAAATATAACCTGTAAAATCACAAAGTTATGTAACACAAAATGCTAATGTTATCAATGGGCTGTTAGCTTGTTAGCATCAGCTTAACATACATTTGGCTAACTGTTGCTGGAGTTCTTATGCAAGTTGGAGGGTGGATTTAAAAATGTAATTAGGAGGTTAAGTAATTTCATTATATATTTTCTCATTAATCTTTGGTTTTTTTAAATGATGTATAAGAATTAAGAACATGCAGCTGTTCCCAAGAGTACTTTGATGCCTAATTATTTTTGATAGGTCATATTTATACAGTAGGAGGCGGGGCTTAACTGACATCAGACTAGTAAGAAAAAAATGCATTGAGAAAGCAGTGAAGTTATAAAAACTTTATATAGGGATTTTCTCAAGAAAATGACATGAAAATTTAATACCAGAATGTAGCCTTTGAAAAAGTGGGAGGTCAATGTTGAGCTCTATGGAAATCTATGGCAAAACCTTTTAAAATAACTTTTTCTTTTCTATTCATTTGATAAATTATGGTTTTATTTAGTGTGTGGGTCGTTATTTTAGTAGTTAACACATGCACCTAATATTTTGAGAGTACGGTAGTGATGTTATTTATATGAATTATGACAAATTTACATTCAAGACTGGCTACAATGTGCAGATGTGACCCATTTTTCTACAACCATAAGTAATGCTCGCTTTATTCATCTTTTGTCCTGATTTATTTCTTTTAAAATTTGCATTTTTTTTCTAATTATGCTATAATTTGCTGTGATGCAAAACAATAGATCCAATATTCTACCATCAATCTGGATTCTGTTAGCACAAAAGAATTCAATGTTCTGACTGTAGTCAATGAAGCACAACAAAAGAAATTCAAGAAACTGTAATTAAACAGTAATAAAGTGAAGGACAGATTCACTCCGAATGTTAAATGTATTTTATTGTCAACTCCTCTGGATTCATGTGGGAAGCAAATGGAATTCATTTCACATGTAAACATGTTGTTTAAGGTCACTTGGATGTTGGAGTGTTGGCAGGAAACACACTGTAGCAACAAGAGATGTCATCCCACTGAAATTCTTCAATAGTATGTCAGCACGATCGTATTAGTAGATTTCTTATGTAAAGCTCAGCATGCACAAGAACTTTCCCAGCAGCCTTTATTTCACTGGATGAAATGAAAAAAACTGGGTCGGAGAAAAAATATGGATGGCTGAGCCTTTACTAAAGAACATTTAGTTATTTAATTATGTTTAAATCAACAGAAGCCTCATATTTAAACTGTTTAAGTCAAGATGACCCACATTTGGACAGTCACGATACTGATTTGATAAAAAGGCTCAGTATTCTTGTTAAACTCAGAAATCTGATTTCCAACCATGTTTGTAAGCTTTTTAAAAAAAGAATTAATGAAAGAGTTGACTTCTGTATTAATTTCTGTTGTAGACATAGATGTATTTCCACTGATTGAGAGACTCTCATATGGTCAGTAAATACAGCTCATAAACAGTAAAGAGAACAGGAAGCCCCATCATCTGATGCTTTTGAACTGTGGGAGGAAACAGAATGAGCAACTTGCACTCCGACACCTTAGTCAGTCTACTCGCTATGTGATCAGTGCCAACCACTGAGCAAGTGTGCTTCCTTTTAATTAACTATTTAAGAACTAATTAATTAGTGAAGCTGATGGAGCTGCCTTTCATTTAGGACCTATTTCTGCGTTTTAATTACAGCTGCGATTTAATTTCGCCACCTTCAGTTTCCAACAAAACTGAGAGCAGAGCTACATGTTCATAATTTGAAACTATCTGTTGGCTCTCCTGAAAAACATTGTCAGTGAAGTTTTTATTTCATCACCTATGACTATGGAGGGCCAGGAGAAGTCACGCCTAATCCTCCACACAGGCCCTTTTGTTTGTAAAATAAAAGAATATACTATGAAATTAATCAATTTCCTGGGAAGCTTTTTTTTTCTTCTTTTTTTTTTGAAATTCCTATACAATAAATTTGGATTGGTACTGTAATATGCCACAAGGACGGACAAATTGGACATCCTTGTGGCATCTGGATTATTGGCATTGTCAGTATGGCTTACAGCACCTTTAATCTCTTTTAAAATAAATAAAAGCAGCTGCAAAAAGGGGACCCCAGCAGCTTTAGTAACACATCACAGACAAACAGTCTTTACCTACTTATCTTAACTCCACATCAGGTTTTTCCACAATCTTGCCAATCAAAGGCAGTGGCATTTCATCAGGGCAAGCAAAACAGGCCCTGCTTGCCCTTCCATAAAGCTGCTATTTGCATCGTCGTTTGTATTACTGTCATCTTGTAGCTATTGTCCATGGAAGCCCAGACAGTGGGGATGGAGTGTGTGTTTTGTGTGCATATAGACCAAAACCTTTTATTCTGCAAATTCTTTATTTGGACGCAGCCTCAAGTGGCCATAAAAGGAACTGCAGTGTTTAATACTTTGCGGTGGATTCATTTTTCAGCCCGTGGTTGGCACACTGCTGGAATGAATGGCAGCGTAGGTTATCTACATTTATCAATTACTTGTTCATGGTAACACTGCTAAAAGGCAGACACTTTCCAAGGTAACCATGGTTACCATGCTCACCATGTTATTCCACTGTTTCAGTATGCAAACACAAAGCTAAAGCCATGGGAAACATCCACTTTTTGTCTGCATTTAAACTTGATGGTGGTGCTACATGAAAGTTAGGAGATCAAAAGGGGAATTGAATCTCTAAACCAGGAGAAAACTTCATAGTGAACCTCGTGAAGCAGTCAGGGACCGCTAAAATTCAGGATTTCACTTCAGGGGACTTGAATTTATGTATAACTATTAGCGCCCCCCCTGCAAGTCATCAACCTAATTATTTCAGTCTGGACCAAAAATGCTGGATCAGTCAGCAAACATACCGATCCCCAGAGTGAGAGTGGCTAATGTGCTAAAAATACTGATTAAACAAAGTTTAAATATGACCTAAGTGACACTCTCTCCAAAAAAAGATGCAGGAGTCATGAGTGGAGCAGCTGCTTCTGCTTTAGAAGCTGTCCTCGAGGGCTGGTGTGCTAAATCCAGATGTCACAACTGCAGTGAAGAGATTGTGATATCTCAGTGTCAGGGGGAGGAAAATGATGCACAGAGCTTTTATGCTATCATTCCTAAAATTATGCCTTCACCAAACAAATTCAACAGGGATGTTGCTCACTGTGTTTCAGCAAATCAGATGTGCAGACAGCCTCTCTCAGTCGACCAGCTGTACTGCCAGCAAAAATATTCATCACATACATGTTTCAGCAGCTCCTCAACTGAACAGAGAGGCTGTGTATGGCCTAATGTATTTGATGTAAATAATTTATGACTTTCCTCAGCTTTGCCATAAAGACTGATTTAAAAGCGAACTATAATGCATCATTGTTTGGTTTGAGGCATTAGTTTATTAGTTTTTTTGCCCGGCAGTTAACAGAAAGATTTATGAATGCCCGTATTTCCTCTCCCAGGTGGACCAGTGATATAAACCAGTGACCTTTCAGTCACACACCTGCTGGCACTAAGATAGGTGCCTTTATTCTTTTGAACTAATGGGGAGCAGAGTCTCTCATTTTATAGATTGCCTTCCCTGCAAAGGAATTACGCTTAGATCTTCATGGTCATCAGAGCGAGATTGAAACTGCTCAGTGAGGTGAATTTAGTTTTAAAATAAAACTTAAAAATTTAGTAGCTGTTTGATTTGGAGACACTTAACAACAGCTTCTGCAAATGCAGACGGTTAAAGCTTTTCTGAGTCAATTATCCAGGTCCTATAATACATCCATGTGCTCCCTCTGGAGGACTTCACCCAGGAACACAATGGGTTCATATGTGGTTTTGGCTTATCACACTGGAGCAGTTTCAAAAGCAAAATGTTTAGTCTAACAGGTCCCTGTATGTTGTTTTTGCATCCAACTTCCTTCCCGCCTCAGCTGCTCTGCTCAGTATGACGTTATTTCCGTAAAAAAACAACAGACTGAGTCGCTAAAACGAGGGCTGAAGGTACAGCTGCTTCTGAAACATGGTGTGGTGCATTTGGTGGAACTTTAAACTTTACGGGCAGTTTGAATGTTTTTGCAGACCTTGCAAATTTTTGTAACCTGGTGTCGAAAAAGCACCGAGTGGGAGGTCGTTGCAACTGATGGAAAGATCAGACTTTGAAAAGTTTTCTGGGTTATGAAACCTGTTGTTTAGAAAAAGATATTTTAATGAGTCGCACAGGTATTAATAGTTATTCTGCTGTGTGACCAACACACCGCAGCTTTGGTTAGCAGGATCAGCTCTGAGCCTAGTTTAATCCCAGGATACAAGCATTTCTTCTGAGACCATCCTCCTCCATTGTACTACAAGTTAAGGTGTAGGTGTATTATCATCAACCAAAGTGGGTGCCTCAAATCTGCCTTCTTTTTAATGGCCACAAAGGGGCGACTCTTCTGGTTGCACAAAGACTGGTCCTGCATATATCTATTGGGAAAACAGCCCTCAGCTCTGAACTCTATAAACATATAGTTGGGTCGCTCCTTTTAGGTCAAAATAATTAAAACATTAAGCACATTTTATAAAATTTCAGACATGCCTTGGTTTGAAAACTCCAATATGGCAACAGCAAAATTGCTTGGATTAACCGATGGGTAATACCACCATAGCTATGTTCATTTTTTTATACTGTCCATTATGGTGATGTTAAGTGGCTATGTCAATACATACATCTAAGATGAACACGTGTGGAATCCACTGTCCTGGTATCTGACAAACCAGGTGCTTTTTAACCTGAACTATTACCTTGTACTGTTCTAAAACAGGATGTTTTGGTACCAAACCCTTAAGAGAGAGAAAGTGAAACCTGATGTTTATATGGCATTTCAAACTAACTGTTTAGCGGGAGAATTGTTCTTTTCACTTAAAAACAGTTTGGCTTTTATTACCTCAGGACCCTTCAACTGTGGCCACGTGTGGGGTTCTGACCTACATGTTGGGAACCACTGTCGCTCTACTACTTCCCAGTTGGGTTTTTGTTTCGTTTATTTTTAGTCATTTTTTTGAATGTTTTTCCCGTTTTCTCTGTGCAGCTCTGAGGTATACTTGACTTCTCCTGTGTGCTTGTAACCTACTTAACTTTCTGTGAACAACTCAAAGTAAGTACTCACTTCCAACTGTAAGAAAGAGTCTGGATTTCAAGTTTCCGCATCCATGCAAGAAACTTCTGTTTAACATAACGTTGAAACGTCACAGCTCCATCCATCACGCAGGGGACTAAAACGTTTCCATCTTTGACAAGCTGCTGCGACTTGAAAGCTTCCAGAGAGGCTGGAAAATATAAAATTGTGTCTTTAGATCGTTCAGCTCAATTATTTTGGGTTGGAAAGTAGCTGTCACAGCAAATTAAAGCCATGTGGTGTGCTGCACAAAACCTGCTCTGGAGATTTTACGAAGCAAGCTCGGACTTAAATGACAAAACGTATTTACAGAAATGGCACAGCTTTTCTCCCAGACTCGGGACTTTTAATGGCATGTTGCCCTTTAACATGAATATAATGATTCACTATCTGAATCATCATCTGTTTCCCTGCTGTGGGAGTTGACATGCTTTGTTGTGTATTCCCACAGTTTAAATATGAGGCTTCTGCTGTCATTTTGTTTTGAAAAGTAAAAGACCCTCAGAAATCACTCAAAGGATGAAGTTTTTTTTAAAGCACACTCTTATTGTTTCTCCTCAGTAAGATGACATTTACAGCTTTCAGCTCTTTGAGTGCTTCTGACAGCCACGTGGATCCAGTCACACATACTGTACTGTACCATAAGCTGATGCAGGCATGTAAATGACTCAACTTGGATATTATTAGCTCATCTTCACTCACTGTGGCGCTGATCAGCTTTGACGTCACTCATAATCATCTGGTGCGAGCGCCTGCAGCCACAGCTCCTCCACCGCGGATGCTGCGATGCAAATCATCTGAAATGTTTTGAGGCCGTTTGGCTCATAATTTAAATTATAAAGAGACATTCATTTATCTGTTTTATTACTCTCTTTTTTTGTTGTTTTTTTTGGGAAAGGCTGCTGGGATGAGTCCGAGTTAGAAAAGAGACACACAATAACCAAACAAACAAAAAGCACGGGCTCAGAAACAACAAAACAAGCACTTTACATCGTTTTTGAGGATTCTCCAAACACATTAAGCAGCCAGTCTTACACAAATCATCAGCATGAATAAAATCCCAGTGAATTTGGAGGGTTGAGGGGATTCAGACAGAGAGGGGAAAAAAAAAGAAAAAAAAAGGGGGGGCTCTAAGCCTCTGAAGCCCCAGAATCTTACTGCAACTATGGGATGTGCTTGGAGGTGATTTGGTATCGTTGCTCTGGTTATGGATGGGGGGAGGGATCTGGTAAAGCAGTGGTTCTCAAACTTTTTATGGCATGCCCATCTTAAAAATGCCCACGGCCCCATGTCACAAGCTACAGCGGACAACTTCAAATGTTGAGTTTTTCACCCTTTAAAAGTGAAAAATATTAATTGTTTGTGTTTTGTATTATGTAATTTGTCGGTAGAATCACACTGGGGGAAAAAAAATTAAAGGTGAAAGTCTACAGAAATGTAAAAAACCAAAAAACAAAACCAAAAATGTGTGAGTTTGTATTCTGAAACAACAGAAAACATGAAAAACTGCAATTAGAAACATAAAAATAAGAAATCCCCCCCCCAACCAAAATTATGTGTGTCCAGAAACTCAAGTAGAAATCTGAATATCAGAATAAACTCTATACTACTATACTTCTATTTTCTCTACAAAAATCATCCTGATTTAGTTTCATTCCATACGTCCCCTCTGGACATCCACGCCCCACAGCTTGAGAACCACTGCCGTAGAAAGGGGCAACATGAGGTCCATGGCTTCAAGCTCGGCGTCACCTTGGGTCCATCTGTGCTAAAGCTCAAGCAGCACCACTTTGCCCCGCCCCCCAAAAAAGACCCTGAGTGGACACACAACTGCATGTTTGTTGAAGCCAGCGCCCAGTTACATCAGCAGTTTATGCTCAGATGTTTTTCAGATGTTAATTTTCTGTAAATGTTGCAGCTAAAGGAAGGTTTCAACAATTCAGGCTTTTTCCATATTCTTAGTTCTGCAGGAGAAACAGCAGAGAGGGATTAAACCATCTCCTTTATACTGATCATAGAGACATTTGATTAATATCTCAACTCGAAACGAAAGCATATCAGCATATTAAAAAGTAATTAAAAAGTTTCTAATTATTAAGGAATTTGTGATTTATTATTTTTATTTGTGCACATTAACAGGATACTTTGTCATTTAAGTTTGTGTGGCCCAAGGCATGAAGTCACATGTGGAAAAAAAAAATAGAAGTAATGGAAAGACGAGGTGCGATTCATCCAGTCAACAATCAAAACAGAATCCTGGTTTTAGGTGGGTCCATCTTTTAAATATTTATGTTTTTCTGTTTTCAGATCGTTCTGGATGTTTGAACACCTGAACACAGACTTTAAAATAAAAATCTGAGTTATTCTCACGATTTTTATCTTTCAACAACAACAACAACAACAACAACATAAGACCCGTGAACACGTGAGGTTAAAACAGAGTGACTGCTCGCGTTTTTCTCCGACTTCTCGTCTGTTGTATTTACTTTATTGTTTTCCCAACAATAAATAAAAACACAAACAGCATAAAAAACAAACAGAAACACAGACACGTGGAAACAACAAACAGACACACATTAGTTCATAAAAGGCAGACATTAAAATGAAAAGGCGGGTTCATTTAGATCAGATGTAATGCGCCATCTGCAAGTTGCCTTTTAATAGCAGGAATACAAAAGCAAACCTTTTAAACCATTTTAAAAAAAAAATACTAAGATCTCAGGATACAAAAGGTGTTTGCACTCTTAAATCAATGACTGGTATTTTTTACCCAGACATTTTGAGTCTAATGGTGTGTTCAGAGTAAGTGCAAAGCGAGGTTTTGCCTCATGAATGAAGTCACTTTAGCACGTTTTATTATTTTTTTTATGTGGACAATGTGGCCACTAGCAGCAAGCAAGACAACTACTTTTATCCAGACTGCAGCAGATACAGATCCCTCCCTTTTTTCTGTATATATAAAAGAGAATCTCCAGATGCTCACAAACGATTAGATTTTCCTCCTTTTCTGATCACTTGTGGCATCAGGAGAACACATGGGAGGGGTCGAACGAATAGGGTTAAAATTTGCTTTAATGGACAGCGTTTAAGATTTACGGTCCTCATCTTTGAGGGTTAAAGTACCGCAGAACTGACGCTGGCTCACTTGTTTACACTTTCGCCATCATAAAGATCTGCTAAGTTTTAAGGGGCCTTCAAACAGGAAGGGCTGCTTGCAAGGGTGCGGTCCAGGCTCCGGTTGCATGTACCACCTCCTCATGTCAACCAACAGTATCCTTTACTCTTATTAGTACTTGCTTCAATTTGCCTTGACTGCAAAGCCTAGAAAAGCTTTGATCTGGTATCTCTAAGTTTAAGTGGCTTTTTATGATTTCTGGTCGCAGTGACGTTGCTGCTAGTCGCTTCCTGGGTGGACGCCCCTTGAGAACCAGCGGGCAAATCCTGTTGTACAGCAAGGGTGGCGACGCTTACACATCTAGTTGATTAATCGCTCGCATGCCCGTTACAAACATACAAGAACGTATTTTCGCCTCTCTGAGCGCTACAGGGTGCAAACTTTGCTTTGCGTTTACCCCAAACACACCACAACATTCCTGCTTCTCTGTAGTGAGATAAAACCGTTTTCAGATCTCAGGAGTCGACTTTTTTGAACTGAATGCTAGCGGACAGAAATGATGTGCAAAAAAACAAAAAATAATGTAAAAGATGTAAAAAACAAAACAAAACACACAACCTTTAACCTTCAAGCAACCAAGCTCTTAACTACATGGGAACACATTTTGTACAGCTCTGTCCAAGTTTGTGTGGTTTTCTTGACCTGTGATGAAATTTTCTAATAATTAATAATAATTATGGTTTTAAATCACTTTTATCCACTTACAAAAATGCAAGTCACTAGTAGTAGCCACAACAAAAAGAGAGGAAGAAAAAAAAATGTGGAGATTAAAAGTGAAAAATTCTAACAAATAACATTGAAAAACAAAACTCTGCATCATCTTTGCAGCACCAGTTCCAATAAAGAACAATGAAAAGTTGCAGAAGTAGATGGACGAACTTGTTTTCCCACACATGTATAAATACACAGCGCTCGGTCACTTGAAGGTTAAAGAACTCAGAGCCTTGGAATCCATTCACACTTCTAGTGCAAAGTGTATATAACGACTCTTCCCATACTGTGACGCGCTGCATGTAACTGGGCGCCGGGCTGTAAAAAGGCATTTTCATGTACTTCGTCAGGCTTTAGTAAGCACGTACTTATGAGTTATTCATCAGCGAAATGTATGTTGAAGAGCAGAGTCATTACAACTACAATGCAAAGCTTTTCCCTCCTTTAAATGATGCAAAATGGCGTGATGAGAAAATGAAGAAGGAAACCTCCTCTCATTTTACTGAGGGCTCGCATTCTCATAGAGATCAAGTCTGCCTCACTCTGCAGTTCAGTTTGACGGAGAGAGAGGAAAAAACAACAAAAAAACAACAACAACAACAAAAATGAAAACAGCGGGCTGCTTTGAAAAGGAGAAGCAGCTCCTCATTTAGCACGGTAAACAAGAAGCTTTGAAGTCAGCCATTTAAAATAGGATTTACATGAATAAATAAATCGCTCACTGATGTGAGGCAGAAGGCTTTGGGTAATCGTCTGTGATTCTAACACACATGACACTGCAAATAACACTGCGAGGTTCAAGTCTGGGAATTATTAATAAATACCACCTGCTCCGGTCTGCGCTGCGCCTTTGTTCAAACTTTGCTCGGCGGTCGCGAAGAATGAAAGTCGCTTTATTCGATGAGGCGACGGATGATGAGAGTTTATATTAAACGCCACTTTATTGATGTCATCGTTCACGTCGGTGACGGAGCGTCTCCGTCTGTCCTCGGCTGTACAAATTAACGACGACATACTCGTCCGTCTCGCCCGGCTTGTAGATGTGCGTCGCAACTCTGTGCTTCACCTCGATCTCTTTGAAATATATTAAAATAACAGTTAAAACTCTCACTAGGGACGGGGTTGGATAGCATTTCAAGTGTCAGATCTCCAGTAACGAAAAGCTGCTGTTTTTAGTGGCAGCTTGATTAAATAAACATGAGCCGAGCAGCATAAAGTATGAAATATTAATTAAATGTATGTGACACATTTAATTAAAAGCTGCAGGCTACTGTACTTCACCAGCGACTCTAAAACGCTCGGGGTGATTTAACGAGGCAAAAAACAGCACCGACTCCACGCTGGAGCGTTGCAGAGGTGAGAGAACGGCCTGTCGTATAAATATGTTTGTTTATAAGCGAAATTCACGAGTGGCCCGGATCACTGGGGATAAAAACACCCATCTGAACTGAACTTGAACAAGTCCGGCAGGTAAATACGAGACTATAACAACATGATGCTAACACAGCTTTCATGAAACTGTATGCCTGTGTAGTTTTACTGGTGTTGTTTGCAAGCTTCAGCCCGAATCAGAGTTTAAAATATCGAATATCACACTTTAACTGGTGCCCGTGTTCTTCCTGCAGGTCTCTATCCACGATCGCCCTCTGCTCTGCTGCTGGCTCTATTTTTCAGACATTTCTTTTACAGAAAGTTGAAAAGACGACATAATTTGCAGGCCAAGCAGGAAGTTCATGTCGCCGTATGTGCCTCAACAACCAAAAACGCCAGAAAAATAAGATTTGTAACAGAGAAAAGCTCATGTTTTATTGAGCAACATAATCTTAGGCTATAAAAGATTTAACACCACGCTATCACCGCTAAAGCTCGCTGGGTGTTTGGTGCCCTTCCACAGAATCCACGAGTGGACTATTTACTGGCATCTTTTATGTTGTGGAACAAAACGAGGAAAAAGTGTAAAGCTCACGTAAAACACGGGCCTTAATTTGAGCTACGAAGGACCGGAAGTGCAAAGTCATTTCCAGGTTTAAGACTCGTTCCTGTGGCTGTGAAGGGGAGAAGCACCTATCATCCACCTTTCAACACAGCTTGTTGATGGCGCAGTGTTAATTTTTACAATTGTTTCAGGCTCTCCGATTTCAATCTAACGATTTCTTGCAAACTTTTGCAGTTGCTCAAGTGACTTGGGTCGATCTCCAAGTCGTCAGGGCCTGTGAAAATTGTTATCCCAGCAGGTGGGAGAAAAACAAATATACCACCTAACACGCTTAAAAAAAACCCAGAAAACAGATTATTGTTAGTTTTTTCTTTAAAACAGAGTTAGGCTACTTATATCTCACAGGGTTAGAAAGTTTGGCACAAAAAAATCAAAGTACGAGAAGTTTTGGATAAGAACCTGAAAATGTCTGAGTGTGAAGCTAAAACTTTGAACAAACGCCGAAGTTTTCATTTCAGCCCCCATCAAATCAAGTTTTCCTCCAGCTGAATCTGCAGCCGGCTCCTCTTTTTGCTTTTGTTGTTCTTTAATAAAAAAAGGCTTAATGAGAGATTTGTTTACCAGCTATCACAGCCCATCCCTAGCCCCCCCTGCCTCGCTCCCTCTGCTCGCCTTCCCTCGATGTGTTACGTTTGAGTGTCATGGATGGAGAACAGAAACGGACGTCTGCAGCGCTGCCCGTCTCTCGATCAGTCTTTGCTTACATGATTGTGACAGCCACCGTTTTCTTCCAACGTCTCGGAAGACCTCTCGGCTTTTCATCCTCCCCTTGCTCCTCCTCCTCCGGCTTATCGGTACGGCGGTTCGGGCTGTTGAGGGTTCGGCCTGTAAAGCTGCTGCACTCGCACGGGGCGCCCGTTAGCCGGCCAGCCTCCCGATAGCTGTCCGATAACCCTGAGGCCCACCGCGTGGCCGTGTCCTGGAAGTGGGGCGCTGGGGCTGAGGATGTGGGTCTGTCCCAGCTGGGGCTCAGCGGTGGGGGCGCTACTTTGAAGGCATGGCGCCGAGGCGGGCGGGGAAACAGGGTAATGAGGGAGTAGAATGGCAGGCGTGAGGCCATAGCGCACTTGGAACACTCTAAGAGGTCCCTGCGCTAAAAAGCCGTTGGGCCGCTGAGGCTCCTGCAGCTTTTCCGAGTCCTTTACCTCCGGGGCTTTGCACTCCTCCGCTCTCTTGGTTTTCCCCTGCTGCTTCCCGGCCTGAGCGAGCTCTTGCATCTTCTCTGCCTGAGCCCTGCGGATGTGATACGTCTTCCTGGAGCTTTGGAAGGAGTCCAAGAACTCGTCCAGGCTTACGTTTCCCCCCATGAACTTCTCCAGGAGCTCCTGTGAAGCAGGGTAGACAAATAAAGCGGCATCAGCAGACAGGACGTCACACTAAGCAGAGCGGGACTCGTTCAAACAAGCTCAATCTGATCAGGGATGTTTACCGGTGAACTTTGTCCGACACAATATTTCACTGCAACTAAATTTAATACTACTACACATGTCCTACAACTATTACTTCTGGCAAAGCTTCAAAGACTGTGTGTGTGTTCTCAGCACCATCCAAGCATCGTCTGGCTGAACCGAGCACTGACAATAGAAGTTTTATTTATGGAGTAATCACTGAATTAATCACAGTCAGGTTTTTGTTTTGTTTTTTAACACATACTCAACCAAAACTCAGATTTATTCCACAATACTTACGTAGCTTCTTTAGAGTTCACCAAATTAAGTTTAAAACTTAACGATTAAAAGCAAGCTTACCCACTTTCCTGGAGCCTGGAGTTACTCCCGTTTGGTTTCCACACACCCACACACACACAGAATTAACTGACTCAAATCTTTGCTAAAATTGACACTTCCTCCTTTCAAGTTGTTGAGCTCATTCGGCTGTGCAGCTGACAGTGTTTGATGTGCAAACTGAAAGCGTGCGCACACAATCCACTGTCAAACCACGCTCGGTTGTTTGTAGGTGTTTATTGTCTCCTGAGAGCACACAAAAAAAAAAAAATCCACACAAAGCAGACGCCACTGTCTAAGAAAAGCTAGAGAAAATATTCGACTTTCGTGAGTGTAATCTAGGACATAATACGTTTTTCAGGTGCTTAAAGACGTTCAGATACCTCTGGTACGCCGTCCTGCTCCATGCAGCTTTGAGCGTTTAAAGTTGATGTAAATACGGATACTGTACATTTGTTAGACTTCTCTGTCACACACGCACACGTCCTTTAACTGCATTTTCATAGAAGCGTTATAAAGGTGGAGGTCATTTTCATGGTCATGTATACAAATAATCAGGTTCTAAATGGGATTTTAATTAAACATGTGCATGGCAAAAGCTACAAATGAGCAGTGAGGAGTGTGATCAGATGATAGTGAAGATCAGTGTGATCAGTGTGAAACTAAAGTTAATCTAACTCACAGCTTAGTGAACTTTTTAAAATCTTGGCATATTTGTAAAGAAACAGATTCTGTTTTCAGGGACTGATTACTAATTTTTGGCTACATGTCTTTATTCTTTGACTCTACTAGAGTGGCTCGGTATGATCCAAAGATCAAAATAATCCTTGTGTATCTTACACAGCTCCTCATAAATCCCCTGTTTTCTTTTAATTGGCTTTAAAACCGTGAACTAATTAACAAACAAACAAACAAACAACAAAAAAACCTGGAATTAAATAATAATAGAAATCGTCACATCTGAAGCTCTGAATCTGGTAAATGTTTCGCTTTTTTTGCTTGAAAACTAAATTTGTTAATAAATTTGTTGCCAGATTTCTCTGTCAGGTGGCTGATGGATATTTTCAGGTCTAAATGTGTTCTCTGATGTCCCCTATAACCTGATTTCTACCACTGACCTGGTTTCTGCCACATGTGTCAAAGCACAGAGTGATGCAGAGAGCACAGGGTGACCAACTGGACATCAACCAGCAATAAAACCTTCAATAAAACCTGATTTTTGATTCAAAACCTGCAATCTTTATTATCAGGTATTTGCATGTTCTTCTTTATTTGCTGGTATGTTGTGCATTAAAAAAATTAAAAATTGGACTAAGAAAATAAAGTAGTACAATTATGTACTGCTGTGATGGTCCTGGTGTTTATAGCCTTTAATTGCCAATTTAATTGTTGTTCGTATAATTATTTTATCCTTAATACTGTGATATATTTGTTGTCTAGTTCCTCTTTTATTTGTTGGTTTTGTCATACTTTAATGTTAGATATTTGTCTATCGATTAATTTTATTTTGAAGGCTCTTTTTCTTGTCTCATATTGTCTTTACGTCCTGCTTTTGTTTCTTTCCCTCCTTTATCGATATCCTGGTTTTTCCTAAATGGTTTGCATTAACCTCCTAGGACCTGGCGTCCACATATGCGGACATCACATTTTGGGTTGTCTAGACCAAAATACAAATTTTGCTCTACAAGGGCCTGATATCCACTTACGAGGACATTATACTGCCACTGTTCTATCAAATTTAAAACAAATGTCCTCATATGTGGATTCTAATTTTTCTCAGAAACAAAAATCAGGTTAAAAAAAAAAAAAAAAAAAAAAGTTAATTCTTTGTTTTTACATTCATCAGCTCCTAATCAGCCAAATAGCAAATAGAAATTAAAAATGCAGCCATGGAAGAGTTCGGGTCTTAGGAGGTTAAGAATGGGAAGACGTGGAGTCACCAGCGAACTGATGGACAGATGAGGCTGATGTTATTCTAATTAACTCTAACTTTAAACTTTTCAAGATTTAAAATGTTCAATTTGAAAGTGACCAAGCTGAATAATTTCATTTTCATTTTTTGATCACTATATTGTCATGCTCTGTAGTACGCCATGGCTGACAGGCCTAAAGTAGCAGAATAAAGCAGATTTATTCACAAAATCCTTGTCTCGTCTTTAAAAAACTCCCAAAAAGAAACAAAACTAAATCTGATTAATAATAATAATAAATAAAACTGAAGGTACTTTGGAGCAAATTGTGTATTATAATACATTAATATCATTTTAGTAATAAAATAGTATTTTTGAATGATGTGCATCAGGGTTTTCTATGCTTTGTTCATTTTATTTCTTTCTTTTAACTTTTAAGTTTTTTGCGGACTTAAAATAAACCCCTACACTTCTGTGAAGTACTTTGTTAAGAAATGTACGGTGTAAATAAAGTTTATTTTATTATTGCTATTTGACTGGATAAAAGTGAAGACAGTAAGGGATTTTTTTAAATCATTATAATCATAAAATAGCATAGGTTTTGATTTTATTCTAACTTGCCACTTGCCGTCACTGTATTAAAATGTTTTGCTGCTAGAGATGCAGCATTTACTGCTGCAGAAGTCTTCACTTTTAGAGTCTCTGCACAAAATATTTGAAATAGAAGATGTAAAAGCAGAAAGAAACTGAAGCATGGAGGCAACGTTTAAAGAAATATTCCTGTATGAAATATAACTGGGTCATAATTGACCCCCAGTTGGTGATTTGAGTTGCTAGAGCAGCTTGGTCACGTGAGGGTTAAAAATGGGTCATAAACACTGTATTTAATTGATTATTTTCACAGTGATTTTCTCAGTGGGTCAGAAGAGTTTGATACACAGGCGCATGAATTTGTGACAGTGAGGGGTTAAATCACAAAAACAGCTGTTAAAGCGGATGTTTACTCCTGCAGAGTACCCTCCATTAACAGTCACCGTCATGTGACTGGTGGATTTTTGGGTTTATTACATTTCCTCCCGCTGTGTCTTCCCCCCACTGCGACTTGTGAGAGGTTCTCCATCTGGCGTGGACACCGTGAAACAAACAGAGCCCCGGTCCCCGAGAATACGTTGGCCTTTCTGACAATAAACAACAGCTGCTACAGGCAGAGTGCTTTTAATTTCATCCGGAGTGAGCAAACTATATGTGACATTTTAGTTTAATGTTCATACTGCGCAGCACACGTCCAGAAACCAAAGTCAGGACAGGAAGAAGAGCCACGACTTTGACTAACACGCAAGTCAAACATCACGTATGAGTGCATACTTATCTACAATAAAGCCTGGCATCTTTCCTGGTGTTCCCAGCTTCTTAGCCGTTGAACACTAACAACGGGTGATTTCTAACCACATGAACAGCCTCCATGGCCACAGTTATATACAATCAGCACCTAGCATCAGATGCTTTGACAAAATTTGTGAAAGAATGGTCCTCTCAGGAGCTCAGTGAATTCAGCTGGCTATCGTGTAGGAGCAACCTGTGCGACAAGTCCAGTCTAAATATATTCCTAGTGAATATTCCACAGTCACATGTTATTGGTTTTATAACAAAGTCAAAGCGATTGGAAATGACAGCAACTCAGCCACGAGGTGGTAGGCCATGTAAAAGTCGGAGGATCAGTGGATGCTCAGGCACATAGCGCACAGAGGTCGCTGACTTTGTGCAGAGCCGTTATCTACAGACCTCCAAACTTCACGAGGCCTTCAGATTAGCTCAAAAACAGAATGTAGAGAGATTCATGGAATGTGTTTCCATGGACGAGCAGCTGCTTCCAAGCCTTACATCGGCAAGAGCAATCCAAAGCATCAGAAGCAGTGGTGTAAAGCACATCGCAACTGGACTCTAGAGCAGCGGAGACGCGTTCTCTGGAAAGACAAATCGTACTTCTATGTCTGGCAGTCTGATGCACGAGTCTGGGTTTGACGGTTGGGTTTCAGGAGTTGGGCCTGGAACCTTAGATCCAATGAAAAGAACTCATGCGTCCAACTTAGTGGGAACAATTTGAGGATGGCCGCTTACTCTTCCCACCTGACTGTGCAGCAATGCACAAAGCAAGGTCCACAAAGACATGGTTGAGGAAGTTTGGTGTGGAACACCTTGACTGGCCTGCACAGAGTCCTGACCTCAACCCAACAGAACACCTCTAGGACGAATTAGAGGGAAGACTGTGAGCCAGGCCTTCTAGTCCAACATCAGTGTCTGATCTTACAAATATTCTCAAACACACTCCAAAACCTTGCACAAAGCCTTTCCAGAAGAGTTGAAGCCATCATAGTTGCAGTTGGTCGACATCATAGACGTGCAAAGGCAGACAAGGCTTGTATACATTTTTATGTGAATTTTGTTTAGTCTTCGTTAGAGCACCTGTCGGACCCCCAACATAGCTGAGCCAGCGCTTCTCCCTTTCTTGCTCTTACTTTTCTCATGTGCGACTAACTTGCTGCCGTTTGTTTTATATGAAAGTGACAATCACGTATTCTTAATGGTCTCAGCCCAGTAGTTTGCACCTTCACGAAGGTGCCCCTTGTTTGTGGCACACATTTCAATCCAACATCTGTACCCGTTACAGGAATTATGGTTTGTTTTTTTAAG